GAAAAAAGAGTGTTTTAAATACTGTTGTCACATGACACCCTTAGAGGGCAGGAGTAAGACTGTAAGGTATGACGGGAGATGTGGTTAGGACCCAAGGATAAAAACCCGGCCAGGAGGACCTTACCTGTCTTGTAGGAATTTGTCACCGTAGAGCTGCCCAAAGCTGGATTGTTTTCTAGTTCTCAGTAAAATACTGACTGGTCATCTCACAGGTGATTAAGTGTTAAGTCAGGGCTAAATTTGTATTGGTAAATACCAATTAGCCATGTTTACCTTTTTAAATTAAGCTACTTAAATTAATGACCTGGCAGCTAAGCAGCCACCTCACAGAATTCTGTTGCTTAGAGAGCCCCGTGGAACAGTCCTGCATTGCCACTCATTGGACATTTTATAGCTTTATAAACTGAGGCACAGTAAGGTTAAATGGCTTGTTTGGGACTTGATGAATACATGGGAGGGTTGAGAGAGGATTCAGGGTTTTCCGTTTCCATTCATTAGCCCTGCAGAATTTATTGGAGTTCTTATTTTTCCTAAGAGTTTTCAAGGAGGGTGTTTGTCTCTGGTCTCACAGCATTTTGTAGAAACTTCAAGTGCTTATCACTTTTTGCTGGAATTGTTTGTTTGGATTTCTCTCTGTCAGGGTCAACACTTCTTTTGGTTTATATTTGTATCCAAGGGCCCAGGCATGCAAGAAATATATGTTGAATGACTGAATGAGAATTTAAAAATCTGACGTTTGCTAAAGCATGAGCACAGGTAGGTTTTCCCTTAGCCAAGTTTCTAGTTTGAGTTAAGAGGTATAGTTTGAATTAATTAGAGGTCCCCAGTAGTGACCTCTAATTTAGACTTAGGTTGACCACAGTGTTAGGAGTCATATATGTGTGTACATGCAATATATATGACTCCTAACACGTGCCTGTGTGTATATATGTGTATGTATATATGACTCCTGACGCACATATATATATTCCAAAAGTAAAGAGAATGAATGGTAGTTATTTGTGTTTGCCTATTTTTTCGTTTCAATGTTCTAAAATTTTTTTTTTTAATGATATTGTGATCTACCCCTGAGGCATAGATTTGAAAATTGTGGCTTATACTTAATGTAAATGCACATACTGTAATACTCTTGAGTTCTCTTCAACACATGAGAAATAAAACTTAGCTTTAGAAAATCATGTTTAGATGCTTAGAGAAGAAATTGTAAAATGATTAAGTGGAAGAGAGAGTGATTTAGGACTTCATGTGACTTTCTGTCTCTGTTGAGGATATTTTGAATAATCACTGAGGATCTTTTATAGGGGAAAGGAAAGCATTTCATCTGTCATATGAGTCAAGAATTCCAGGTTAGGGGAGAGGGAAAAGGATACAAAAACTGTCCATTCTAGGAACCAGTAATCATCCATTTGAAACAAACTTTGTGGCATTCAGGGTAGACATATAGTCTGTTACCTGCATTTAGAGGAAATGTTGCTGATCTATTGTTTGTAATAGGTAATTTGCTATAAAGTTTCTGGACTGAGTGAGAAGCCTGGTTTGTCTGGAGAATTTGCTGGTTCCTTTAACAAGCCCACAGCCTGTCTGACGCCTCTTGGAAAAACAGTGGTCATGACAGTAACAGACTCACCCTCAAAGAATCCAGCAGATTATCTGGAGAGATTGCCTCATCTCTAACTAATGTGCTGTGTTCTACTCATGTGATGGTTAGTCTGCTGCTTAGGCAGGTGTGGAATAAGAGGACCGATGAAACAGAGGCCAGTTCTATACAGGTTGCTATTCATACATTCCATGGTTACCAAGAAGTGTGTTAAAAAGTCCAGTTTGCCAGATCTGGAACTAATACTCTCTTTAGCATGGACACACTGGCTGCTAATGTATGTCAGACTCCTACCCTATCTGTCAGACACTGCACAAGGCAATTTTATGTGGGTGATTTTATTTAATCCTCACAACAGTCCTATAATTATCCCCATGTTACGTATGAGGAAACTTAAGATTTAGAAATTAAACGACTTGACTCATCCGTAGACAGAGCCGGCGTGTGAATCTCTCCAGCTCGGAGCCCGTGCTCACTTAACCTGTGTTAGCATAGCTCTTCCTCTGCTCACTTCTGAGCCATCAAATTCAACCTCAAGCCGCGGCATACCTTTTTCCTTTCATTGGTTTACGTGGGGAAGTGGCCTTTGCTGTGTAGCTCCCTACGGAGAAGTCTCCTTTCATTTCTTCAGCAAGCCTTTACCGAGTGCTCCTCCGCTCTGCTGTGCGCTGTGGGTGGCAGTGCTGGACACAGCGGCCCCTGCGGGGAGTCTTCTCCAGCCTCCAGCTTCATCTTTCCTCAGTGACGCCTGTCATGACCCCAGACCCGCCCTCTGTCACCCGTCACAGTCCCTTCCTGCCTGCAGTACCTTCAACCATAATTGCTTTGGGTCCTCAAATCAGACTCACAAAGAGTTTCTTTTTCAGAGAAAAAGTATACACAATGGCTTTGAGGCTTTAATATTTTTCATCCTCAACAAAGGTTAAATAGAGCTGGAAAAGAACGCATGTCATCCCGAACTCCTAGGAAGCTGTGTTTGGAGAAAAACTGGAAACAAATAGCTTTGATATTAAAAAGCAAATTAGGGAATTCTCTGGTGGTCCAGTGGTTGGGACACTGCACTTTCACTGCCAGGGGTCTGGGTTTGATCCCCCTGGTCAGGGAACTGAGATCCCACAAGTCGTGGAGTGCAGCCAAAGAAAACTAATTAATAAAACAAAAAAAACAAATTAGTATTGATCTTAAGACATTAGGAAGGGGAGAGTAATAAACCCCAAGGAAGAGAAAGGAAGTAGTGAGATAAAGAATGAATTAAATAAAATAGAGAACATTAAAAACAAAAAGGAAAAACTGAAAAGCCAGTTCTTTGTGAAGGTTGATTAAATAAGTTAACTTCCCAAGGTAATCTACATTTAACACAGTCCCGCTGGACTCTTTTTTAATTAACCAAAATGACTTTTAAATTTATTAAATAAATGAACCTACATAACCTAAATGTCTCCCAGTAAGGGCTGATTTAATAAACTGGAGTGCATCCATACAGCGGGACAACATGCGACTGTAAACACAAGCAGGACGTTCTCTGTGTCTTGATGTGGAATAAAGCAAGGTGCGGGACAGCGCATATAGTACACTGGCCTTAGTGTAAAAGTGAAAGGGAGGAGTAAAAATGCGAATCAACATTTGCTTTTAGATCATGAAGAAATGCTGGCATGAAGAAATAGTGTACATCAATAGCAGAGGTTACCTGTGGTGGGGAGAGGGGGCAGGTAGGGACAGACGTCTAGGAAGAGAGGCTCTTCTCTAGATACATACTTTTAAAAATATTATTTTTGGCTGCACCCGGAACATGTGGGACCGTAGTTCTCTGACCAGGGATTGAACCTGCGCCCCCTGCATTGGAAGGCAGTCTTAACCACTGGAGCTCCAGGGAAGTCCTGATGTATACTTAACATTTGAAAGCTTTTGAACTGTGAGAATGCATCGTCTATTCAAGAATTAATTTATTATAAAGAGTTACTTTTTTAATCAATAATAAAAAAGGGAACATCCCAAACAAAAACTGAGTGAAGTCTGTATTGTGATACATCTGTATTGTGAATACTAAACAGCTACCATAATATAGCAGGGAAAGTGAAATGTCAAAATGTCAACAGCAACTGTCCCTGGGTGTTGAGAATACACAAATAACATGTACTTTTTGTTTGTGATGTTCTCAGTGGCCTGCAGTGACTCACCACTTTTATAATTGGGTTTTTTTTTTTTAATTGAGAAAAAGTTGGCCAGGTTCCATCCCTAGTTGGGGAATTAAGATCCTGCAAGCCATGAGGCTCAGCCAAAATTAAAAAGAAAAAAAGAAGCGTAATTAAAAGTAAGAAAGATCAATATTCTGAAGAAGAGTAGTAAGGAAAACCAACACTAGCAAATACGATACTGGTTGCGAAGTAGCAGTAATTAAAATGCTATGGCAGTAGCACAGATAATGAGTTTTTGAAACTGTAAAAAGACTCAGATCTATTCTGTCTCTTACATGAGAGAGAATGTGATAAAAATGAGTATCTGAAACAAAAGTAGTGGCAAAGGAAGGATTAGTAAATGGTGATGGGATAATGTTTGCCTGTTATATTACCAGCAGCTGGGACAAAGAGACATTTAAAAAAATTCAAAGCTTTGACCAGTTCATGTAAAATAAAATGTGAAGAACTGTCATTTTATTTTATTTTATTTATAAGAACTGTCATTTTAATAGTTGTGAAGCAATGAAGAGCCTCACAGTAGAAAAATCAATATTTTAAAAATTTTGAAGAATTTATATTTCATGTGTGTGGATGTATGAATATTTGCCCTTAATATGTATATGTTATTGCTTTACATGGGTAATGATGTAAAGGAAGTTTGAGAAAATGAACACAGCCATTGTTACAGTGGATTATACACAAATTTTGTTTTTCTTTTAGTAATGTAAAGGGTTTTATTTTTTTTAGCAGATATTTATTTTGAAGCAGGAAACTCCCTCTGGAGTAACAGTAATTATTACTATTGGCATGAAGTAATAGTAATAATAGTAATTATTCCCTTTTTCTAAAGAATTCATTATTGGACACTTTCATTATTGGACTATACCAGGTATCAGATCACTCTAGCAACAGAAGTCACCCAGGTCACCTTTGCTGACCTTTGAAGAGAACTCTTTAAACAGTTGGAGAGGAGGTGAAGAGAAGAGCTGCCTACAGCAATGACGGAACACAGTATTAACGACTGACTCCAAGTGCAAAGGATTCAGCTGTGGGATGTTTTGTTTTGTTTTCTTTTTTTGTTTTCATTTTTTTTTCCCATTTATTTTTATTAGTTGGAGGCTAATTACTTTACAACATTGCGGTGGTTTTTGTCATACATTGACATGAATTAGCCATCAGCTGGGGGATTTTGTTCACCTCTTCCTTCTGTTGTTCTCTGCTTCCAGGTTGGTGGCACGAAGGCTGGTGTAGTCCGGTTTCTTGGGGAGACAGACTTTGCCAAGGGGGAGTGGTGCGGCGTGGAGTTGGATGAACCTCTGGGGAAGAATGATGGGGCTGTTGCTGGAACAAGGTGCGTTTGCTGTTGGAATTTCGTCTCCCTCCTGCACGTAAAGATGCTCAAGCCAGCCCCACACAGTGTGTGTAATAAAATGGACATGAGCGTTTTGAAGAGCTGCACTTGTATTTCCTAAGACTCATCTAGGATTTTCCCCTCCACTAGGATTAGTCGTTCTCTCTTAGATGGTCCTCTGTCTTTTTCGCCCCCCCCCCCCCCGTTCTATTTTAAAAATTTCGTGTGTGCGTGTGTGCTTTTAAAGAAAACAATTACTTGCTTATTTTTTAAATTTTTGGCCACACCCTGCAGCACATGGGATCTGTGGCATGTGGGATCTTAGTCCCTCGACCAGGGATCAAATTCACACTCCCTCTATTGGAAGACAGAGTCTTAACCGTTGGACCACCGGAGAAGTCCCCTGACTCTCATTTAGTGATACGTGCAGTGCATCTGAGTAGATTCTGAACAAGCACTGGGTTTATGTATCTGTTTGTTTTTGTTTTAGAGCAGTTTTCAGTTAGAATTGAGAAGAATTGAGAGGAAGATGCAGATAGCCCTTCTCGACCTCCTGCCCCAACTTGTGCACAGGCCTCCCCTCATTGTCAATATCCAGAGGGATGCATTTATTACAGCTGATGATTTTAAGTATATAGGTGCTATGCACCAAATACAGTAATAATGCCTTGAGATTTTAAAAAATCTCTTAGTGCTGTGATGATTATGAAGCCATAGCGTTCATATTCTTGATATTAAGATGTTAAAATTCTCTAGAGTCATGTCTCCAAGTGTCAGTCTGATAACTGACTAACCAGCTGGTACGTCTCCACCTTTACTTGAGGGAATCTGCCAGCTAGGTGCTTGTTTGATTTCTGTTTCCCTCTTGTTTAGCAAGGTTGTATTAAGTGGGATCACTGGGCTGCTGAACTCTTCTGCTGTGTGTTTATCAGATAGTAGAAATGACTTCCTCTTTACATAGAATCTTAGCAACAGACAAGTCAGTCTGTCTCTGCATATCTCACTGTTGCTTCCTCATGTGTCTTTGAAGACATTACTGAAGTTATTTATCAGCCTGCACATCCAGTGAACACTGCAGGCTGGGTGCAGCACCCCAGCCGGTTGGTAGAATTCACAGCAAGCGCACAAGTTTGAGTCAGGAGAGCCTTTTGGTTACAAGTTTTTCTTTCTTGTCATTAAACCGCTTTTTGTTCCTGTCCTTAATTGTTGTCCCCTCAAGGTATTTTCAGTGTCAACCCAAATATGGACTGTTTGCTCCAATCCACAAAGTCACCAAGATTGGCTTCCCCTCCACCACGCCAGCCAAAGCCAAGGCCGCGGCGGTGAGGCGAGTGATGGCAACCACGCCCGCCAGCATGAAGCGCAGCCCGTCTGCCTCCTCTCTCAGCTCCATGAGCTCCGTGGCCTCCTCTGTGAGCAGCAAGCCCAGCCGGACAGGACTGGTGAGCCTCCCTTCCTGTCTTTCTCTGCATTCCAGGCACATCAGGTGCCTGCCACCCTCATCAGCACGCCTGCTTTGCTTTAGGAAAGGTTACACCTCCCCTTGCCCTTGTGTGAAATGTACCTTCGCTGTAGCTTGTGAACGTCCTTAAACATTTCGCAACAAAAGAGAACCCAAACCTCTAGCACAAGTACAAGTTTGAAATAAAGAATTTTGAACAGCTCCTTTCAGACTCCTAAGACTGGGAGATACCACAGTGCCTGGTGAATCAATAGTAACGACTCCCTAGTCTAACGTATGAGATGATTGATTATTCTGATATTATTTTGGCATCCGGCAGACAGAAAATTGGAGGGATCCCTTTCCCCAAGGACCTGGGTGTCTTTCTCTTTGTTGTCAGACTAGGAACTAAAAGTATTTTGAGAAAAGGCATGTTCTTAGAATTTTCATGTTGTGTTCATGCAGTCTCACCCACTGAAAACAGTTCGGTGGGTGTGGAGTGTTCCTGCCTCAGGCCCGAGGATGCAGAGAAGAACGTAGGCAACTGGAAAAGATGCCTGAAAGGCCCTGTTTTGTGTTGTCACCTCTCTCCATCTCCCCTTCCCACTCCCTCTCCCTTTCTCCCCCTTTCCTGCTTTGATCAGTAAGATAAAATCATCAGAATCAAAATAGGCAGCATCTTGTTCTGTTTGTTCATGTCACGCTTTCTTAGGGCCAAAGCAGTGACTTTTTGGCTTTGCTTCCCCACCCCCACCCCCTGCCCTTTAGTTTATTCGCTTGAAGTGAGGCAGATACTGTTCAAATTTGACATGACTGCGTGAGATTACACTCCAGACTGGATTCTGGGTCGCTGGTTCATGACAATGAACTGCAGACAGGAATTAGAATGTGAAGTGTTGCGATCGGGGAGTAAGGCTGCTGGCCCCTGGCCTCACTTGGCCTTCTCTCTGCTGACCCTGGGCGGGGACGGGACCTTCGGGGGCGTCTCTCTGCTGACCCTGGGCGGGGACGGGACCTTCGGGGGCGTGTCTCTGCTGACCCTGGGCGGGGACGGGACCTTCGGGGGCGTCTCTCTGCTGACCCTGGGCGGGGACGGGACCTTCGGGGGCGTGTCTCTGCTGACCCTGGGCGGGGACGGGACCTTCGGGGGCGTCTCTCTGCTGACCCTGGGCGGGGACGGGACCTTCGGGGGCGTCTCTCTGCTGACCCTGGGCGGGGACGGGACCTTCGGGGGCGTCTCTCTGCTGACCCTGGGCGGGGACGGGACCTTCGGGGGCGTCTCTCTGCTGACCCTGGGCGGGGACGGGACCTTCGGGGGCGTGTCTCTGCTGACCCTGGGCGGGGACGGGACCTTCGGGGGCGTGTCTCTGCTGACCCTGGGCGGGGACGGGACCTTCGGGGGCGTGTCTCTGCTGACCCTGGGCGGGGACGGGACCTTCGGGGCGTGTCTCTGCTGACCCTGGGCGGGGACGGGACCTTCGGGGGCGTCTCTCTGCTGACCCTGGGCGGGGACGGGACCTTCGGGGGCGTCTCTCTGCTGACCCTGGGCGGGGACGGGACCTTCGGGGGCGTCTCTCTGCTGACCCTGGGCGGGGACGGGACCTTCGGGGGCGTCTCTCTGCTGACCCTGGGCGGGGACGGGACCTTCGGGGGCGTCTCTCTGCTGACCCTGGGCGGGGACGGGACCTTCGAGGGCGTCTCTCTGTTGACCCTGGGCGGGGACGGGACCTTCGGGGCGTCTCTCTGCTGACCCTGGGCGGGGACGGGACCTTCGGGGGCGTCTCTCTGCTGACCCTGGGCGGGGACGGGACCTTCGGGGGCGTGTCTCTGCTGACCCTGGGCGGGGACGGGACCTTCGGGGGCGTGTCTCTGTTGACCCTGGGCGGGGACGGGACCTTCGGGGCGTCTCTCTGCTGACCCTGGGCGGGGACGGGACCTTCGGGGGCGTGTCTCTGCTGACCCTGGGCGGGGACGGGACCTTCGGGGGCGTCTCTCTGCTGACCCTGGGCGGGGACGGGACCTTCGGGGGCGTCTCTCTGCTGATCCTGGGCGGGGACGGGACCTTCGGGGGCGTCTCTCTGCTGACCCTGGGCGGGGACGGGACCTTCGGGGGCGTCTCTCTGTTGACCCTGTTCGGGGACGGGACCTTCGGGGGCGTCTCTCTGTTGACCCTGGGCGGGGACGGGACCTTCGGGGGCGTCTCTCTGTTGACCCTGTTCGGGGACGGGACCTTCGGGGGCGTCTCTCTGCTGACCCTGGGCGGGGACGGGACCTTCGGGGGCGTCTCTCTGCTGACCCTGGGCGGGGACGGGACCTTCGGGGGCGTCTCTCTGTTGACCCTGTTCGGGGACGGGACCTTCGGGGCGTCTCTCTGCTGACCCTGGGCGGGGACGGGACCTTCGGGGGCGTCTCTCTGCTGACCCTGGGCGGGGACGGGACCTTCGGGGGCGTCTCTCTGCTGACCCTGGGCGGGGACGGGACCTTCGGGGGCGTCTCTCTGCTGACCCTGTTCGGGGACGGGACCTTCGGGGGCGTCTCTCTGTTGACCCTGGGCGGGGACGGGACCTTCGGGGGCGTGTCTCTGCTGACCCTGGGCGGGGACGGGACCTTCGGGGGCGTCTCTCTGTTGACCCTGGGCGGGGACGGGACCTTCGGGGGCGTCTCTCTGTTGACCCTGGGCGGGGACGGGACCTTCGGGGCGTCTCTCTGCTGACCCTGGTCGGGGACGGGACCTTCGGGGCGTCTCTCTTTATAGCAGGGGCTGCCCTCCTCTGCAGCCATTGGACTTCTTCCCCTGACGTTCAGGTGATGCAGGTACCTGCTTGGACTCTGTCATTCTGCTCATATAAAAGCCTGCATCTTCAGCGTGTAAATTACAAGTGGACTTGATAAGAAAAGCTTGACAAGAACTCTTAGAATGTCTGAGTGAAATGGAGGTGAAGAAAACCCTCTATTTGGATGAAGCCTTGTTCAGAGTCAGTCAGCCAGCTCTAATGTGGACATCGAGTTTACGTTTCAGGACATGAGTTTACATTCTCAGGACTAATTCAGGAGCAATTCCGTGGACATGTCTACTCTGGATTCCAAATTCTTTCTTCCTTTTTTTTTTTTTGAGAAATTTTTATTATGTTACAATTGTGTCCATTTCTTTGGAGATTCCCCAAGCCCTTCCTGTCCCCACAACCTCTCCTCTTATTTTTAGACCAGTTCTGATTCCTCTTTGAAGAAAACTAGCAAAAGAGAAATGAGTCTCATTGCCTTTTAAAGCAGCTTATTTTTGTATCTCTTTATATCGAGTGGTTATAGTTTCTAAACCAGAAATCACCATAAATGAATATGTGAAAAACACAGGATAATCAAATGCATGATTTCCTAAAAATACAGCTTAGCAATATGATCCATTGTACATATGTAAAAAAAGCTGAAAGATTCTTGAATGCAAAATGATCTTCTGACAGTATTTAGCACGGTTCCACAGAACCTTTAGAGTCTCTGTTATTTTTTCACAGTGCCCATAGGCCAAAAAAGATAGCTAACAGTTCTGTTTATTAAGTATTTCAGTCCAAGCAGCTTAATATTTATGTCCTCACGGTTTAGTAACTTTTCAAAAAAAACAATGATACTCATTAGCTGAAAGCAAGAATAGTATTTGTAATTCATTCTTAAATAACCACAATGAGTTACTATTAGGTTGCTCCTCGTGGGCATTGCACATCCTATCAAACCTTGGACTCATAGTGAACACTGCCACCCTCATTTTCTGTGCTACATCGATTTGGGCTTTTTGTCCTGGCAGTGGCCAAAACCCAGCTTTGGAGAGATGTGACTGAAAGGAGTGTAGTATCATTGTAAATACAATCCAAGGTTGAAGCTGAATTGCCTCCAGCTAGTAGTTTGCATTATGTCCAACAGGTGTCACTGTTCCCCTGCGAGTTAGCTGTAGCACCCTGGGGTGTGTCTCCGTGCAGGGTTTGAGAAGCTCAGATTTAGTGTATTTAGGAAGAAATGTTGGCTAAGACTCCATGCGCCCAATGCAAGGGCCCCGGGGTTCGATTCCTGGTTGTGGAACTAGATCCCATATGCCACAACTGAGGGTTGAAATGCCACGCTAAAGATTCCACGTGCTGAAACAAATGAAGATCCTGCATGCCGCAGTGAAGACCTGACACAGCCAAATAAATAATTCTTTTTTTTTTAAAGGGAGGAAATATTAGTACGAGAAAGTACAACCACATAGTGAAACTGGAAAGTCAAGGTCAGGTAGTTAAAAGAGAGAACAGGAAATCCCCCTCCCCCTCATATGTTCAAGAAATTTCTCTCAGTAGAAACAGTGGCATTCTCCTCAAGCCAGAGATCGCTCGGTAAAGGGCCTCGGACAAACGCTGGCCAAGGGTTTGCAGCCTCTTCTGGAGCCCCTCCCAGCCCCCCAGAGCCCAGCCTGGAAGAGTGTTATTCAGCTTGTCCAAATGACCTCTGAACTCTTTAACAGAAGGTTCTGTTCTCTGTGTTTTCACATGACAATTAGGCACCTTGAGGAGGTGTCTGCTGTGTGAAACAGCAGAGATGAGAGCAGAAAGAGGTTTTCTCCACGCCTCCCCCGGCTGCTGTCTCTCCTTCAACTCCTGCCCTCCTCCCCCTTCCCCCCTCATGCGCTCTTTTTCTCTCTCCTTCCTCTGCCTCCTTCTCTTTCTCCGTGAGCGTCTCCTCCCCCCTTTTCTACCCCCCGCCCCGTGCCCTTTCTTCCTTTTTCTTGTGTGTGCACTCGCACTCACTCATCCATTCGCACGCGCTTTGAAGGCACAACACAAGTCTCCTTTTCACCTCATCCTTGTGAATCTTTCTGGGGACTGGAAATCAGGTCCTCACAGCTGGATCCCTGGGTGAAATCAGCTCTGCCTTTCACTCTAGAAGAAAGGTGAAGAAAATCTCACAAAGTTCCAAGTGTGTAAACTATGTAATCAGTTGAAGGAAGGTTTGTGATTCCATGGGTGACATCATGGTCACTTAATGGTGTGTAGAAGCTTGAGAAGTTGAAAAAAGTCTCATCCTAAAGTCTAAGGAACAGAAGATTGGTCAAACTGTCTTAATGAGAAGATAACTATTCATGAAGTCCAGGCGGAAATGGAGTCTTGAGAAGCTTGTGACCTGGGTCCTGAGGGATTTTTCCACCCGCCCCCCCTCAGCCCAGCTCAGGGCACCTTTGATTTTGAGCCACAAACATCTTTCTGGTTTTTCTGTGGCCTGTTTACATTGGTGGGCTCTTTGTGACATTGACAGGCCTGAGGCACGTGCCGTCTTGTTTCCACGATGGAAAACCTTTCGTAAGCCTGGGCAAGCCTGCGAGCCAGGGGCAGCGCTTTTACTTTGCCGAGGAGACGCCCACCCTGCATGCACTGCCCCCTCCCTGCATCCCTCATAGCATCATTGCCCTTCACGTCTTTAACTTTCCTTTGCAGTTGACCGAAACCTCCTCCCGTTACGCCAGGAAGATCTCCGGCACCACCGCCCTCCAGGAGGCCCTGAAGGAGAAGCAGCAGCATATTGAGCAGCTGCTGGCCGAACGAGATCTAGAGAGGGCGGAGGTGGCCAAGGCCACGAGCCACGTCGGGGAGATAGAGCAGGAGCTCGCCCTGGCCCGGGACGGACATGACCAGGTAAAGTCTGGCCCTGACCTTGTGGCGGAGATGGTGACGGGTTCTAGGCTGATCTTGTCGCGGAGTCGGTGACAGTTTCTAACTTGAGGGAGGAGGCTGGGCAGCATACCTGGTGCTCAGAGCCAGGGAGCTGATCTCGAGCGTGCTGAAATGAGCATAGATGTCTTTCCTGGGCTTGTTTGAAAGCTGTGCCCTGGGCACCAGTTTGCATCATCATAAAGATGAAGTTCTGTTCTTCTTGAGTCTGCTGTGCTCTTTGGTCTTTACATCCAGGTCTCTTGGCCTGTCTGTTGTCAGATGAGCTTATACACTAGGACCTTAGTAGTGGTTACAACTCCTGTTTTGTAGATTATGCTTTGTATGAGTTTCAGCTTCAAGAAAGATGAGAGTGGAGACTTCCCTGGTGGCCCAGTTGTTAAGACCTCGCCTTCCAGTGCAGGGGGTACAGGTTCAATCCTTTGTTGGGGAGCTAAGATCCTACTTGTGCTCAAAAAACAAAAACAAAAAAACACCAAAACATAAAACCAATAAAACCAGTATTTTAACAAATTCAGTAAAGACTTTAAAAATGGTCCACCTTAAAAAATCTTTTAAAAAGAGATGAGAGTTGTTTTAGCATTGCCCCCATTTGCTTTAATGGTGTGGTTTTTCATCATCCGGCTCCCAGAAGTGCTGCCAAGAATAACCTGTTATAAGAAATCATAGAAAGCGCTTTAATGTGACAAGGTTTTTGACTGATGCCGACCCACAGTTGTACCACTTAGCTGTAGCTCTTTGGAGGCACGTCTGGGTCAGGAGGCCACTCACTGACACCCTTGCCTTTCCCAGCACGTCCTGGAGTTGGAGGCCAAGATGGACCAGCTTAGAACGATGGTGGAAGCTGCCGACCGGGAGAAGGTGGAACTTCTCAACCAACTTGAAGAGGAGAAAAGGTGATCCCAAAACCTGCTCTCCTTTTTAAACCACCTTAGGGAGAGCTTTCCCATCCACAGCCTTGTTGGTGTCAAACCCTGAGAACCAGAGGACGGACTGTGTATTCAGTGGAGATAGGCTTCCCCATACTGTGTGCGGAAGGTTTGCGTTGACCTGGCTTTCTTGAGAAGTTTGGAACCAGATAAGTGTGCCCTGATTCACTGAACAGCTGCTTATTGAGCCCCTACTGTGTGCCAGACATCCTCTAGAGGATGGCCTGAGTCAGTTAACTCAAACCCAGTTTCCACCTGAGGCATTCCTGGAGAGGGGATTTTTTTTTCCTCCTGGGCCCAGTTACCTGGTCTTTATGAAACATTATCCAAGTATCTGATGAAATTATGTGTGTTGGGGAGCAGGGTAGTGACAGAGAGGCCTTGACCTCGAGAAACTCACTGCCTTTATAGGAAATTAGAACTCTCAGCTAGAGAACTATCCAGGGCAGGATGAAATCCAGTGCTCAACTGTGTGAGACAAAGAAGGCACGCTTGCTTCTCATAGAAGGTCTTTTGAGGCCATGAGCAAACAAGATCTCCGGGAAAGGTGTCTGCATGGAATCGGTTGACTGTCTCTGGGTTATGGGGCGTTTGTCCTCAGTTGCACTTAATGCCATCTGCTGTCAGTTCTGATCACAGTGATGTAACTCAGGGGTCTCTAGGATGACCAAGTGCTCAGGAAGGTCACACACACTGGCTGTGGTGGGAGGTACGGGGTGGCGGGGTGGGTCATACATTCAGTGCTTCACTGAGGAGATGATTGGCCACTGGGGAGAGGAGCACTACAACAGGAAGTTCTCCTTGAATCTCATTCATAAAAACGGCTACAAGCGAACAAGATACACTGACAGACCCAGGCCCATCTGAAGGCCAAGGCCCCTGTACCATTTGCTTGGGTTTTTAAACCAGCTCTTGCTGAGCTGACTTCTGGACAGTAGAAATGTTCCCCCAGCTCTTCAGTAAGCTTGAGGGCATCAACATACGATTATGTTTCTGATTCAACCGAGTAGAATTTTTTTATTCTAAACTTTGTTAGAAATGCTAGTGAATTTTTTTTTTTTTTTTGCACGTAGCTTATGGACTTTGTCCTTCTTTTCACAATCCATAGGGTTGCAAAGAGTTGATCATGTCTGAAGCGACTTAGCATGATGATGGACTTTGTCCTCCTTTTCTTCCTTCTCGTATACCCAATTTTGTAAAGATTCAGTGTGGGTGTTACCCAGGTTTTGTAAATCTTCCTAATATCATATTTCATTGACTTTGTGATGGCATTGATCAAAACCCACAGCCCTTATTTTTATGAGATTTTTTTATGAGCCCTTATTTTAGAGATTCTTATGATGTGAGTGAGGGGGGGAAGCTTGTGTTTTTAGAAGCAAGAAATAGAATCCTTGATCGCCTCTCTCCCAAATTATTCCAAGCCTTTTTCTCCCAGCCTTGGAACAGGTACTCATGTTGTCCTGGGAATCCCTGCATGGGTAGCCTGCTGACCTCACCCTGGAATATCTGATGTGGGTGGTATAAAGACAGATTTGTTTTCTATGCTAGTTTCCCCGCTGTGTTCTGTTACTGGGAAGTAGAAATTATAGACTTCCCTTCTCATACCTATCTGTATGGTGATCAGACCTTTTCCCTCGAGGATGATCTTGTCTTGATTAGATCCATTTCTGGTGGTTGTGACCTGGTGAACCAGTTGATTTTCTCAACTCTTCCCTTTCTGGGATCCATACCTGGTTAAAACTTTGGCGTTTCCTAAGTGGAGAAGAGCTCTTCACTTTGTGTATTTATAAACCAGAGGCTTTAAAATGCATTTCTTCATTTTCTACGTCGCTAAGGCATTTCTTTCCATCGTCATCTGCTAAATTCATCAGGACATTGATTATATAATTTGGGGAATAAGGCAGAGGTGTTCCTTAGTTACTTTCTTAAGTATTTTGTTTTGATTTTATTCCACAGGAAGGTTGAGGACCTTCAGTTCCGGATTGAAGAAGAATCAATTACTAAGGGCGATCTTGAGGTAAAACCCCACCAGCCATCTAAAGCTTCTGCGGGTGCAGTATTCAGAAATATGGATAACACCACTGTGGCCAGAACAGGCAGCAGAGGGGGTGGCAGGAATCCCCACCTCTGGGCTGTGGTCTATGGCTGAGGGGCTGCCTGCCCTCCAGCCTGTCACTATGCATCTCAACTCTGGTAGCTGGGTAAAATTTTCCCTACCCTTTTCTCATGCTTCCAGATTCAAAACCTTGCATTGAAGTCACTCAAGTCATAAATCTGGCAGTGTGTCCTAAGTGAGACTCTACTTATTCCTCCCATGATCAGAATGGCATTTTAAAGAGCATTTTTTATTTCATCATGGTAGTTCAGAACAGTCTCAGCTTTCCTTTTCAATTGACCAGGATAAATCCTTTATAACCCTATAGAAAATAAATATATGTTATGGTAACTGATTTTTTAAAGTATTAGTAATTTCCAGGAAAAAAGATCAATTTTTATTTCATGGCATACTTTCAATTCAGAGATTTTCCTTTAGTATCAAGTTTTCTCATCTCTTAATAGCTATTCAGGACTTCCCAGGAGGCCCAGCAGTAAAGAACACACCTGCCAATGCAGGAGACATGGGTTCAATCCCTGGGTTGGGAGGATCCCCTGGAGAAGGCCATGGGAACCCACTCCAGTATCCTTGCCTGGGAAATCCCGTGGACAGAAGAGCCTGGTGGACTACAGTCCGTGGGGTCTCGAAGAGTCAGACATGACTCAGTGACTAAACAACAACAGTGATTCATATGAGTTTTTTAGTAAGGCCCTAGAATTAAATGACTTTGATGCTTTTCAAACCACTGCTAGATGTATGACAAATGCCAATTTTAAATTTTTAAAATTTAGCAGAGTTTTGGTACTTTAATCTGTAATATTTTAGTAGAAGTTTCTTGTCTGTGCAGTTCTCAGAATACACATTTTTGCTACCATTGCAATTTTAGAGTCTACTGAATGTCCACAGCATGCTTAAATTTCAAAGTCCTTCCAAATAAGAAGGCTGATTTCTTTTGAAATAAATGTATCTTTACAGTCAGCAGAGAGTAAGGGAAACATTTTCTGTGGTCTGCTTTTATAAGGCCCAGAATGTAATGGATTATGAGTAATTTTGATAGCTGTCTTCGTCACTCATTTCATATAGAGTCACACTCCTTTAGTTGACTTCTGTGTTGTTCTCATCCATTTTAAAAACACCCCAAAATCTCATTAGAAGTTTCATATCATCATCTAATTCATGTCAAATACAGCCTACAGTGTTTTGAGGAGGAGCGAGTTAAAATATTGACACCAGCACTAGATAGGCTAGTGTGTCCAGTAAACTTGTAATTAATCAAAGTTATGCTGAAACCCTAACACATGTTGAAACTCTAGTTGAATGTCTCTTTTGTTGTTAATTTTTTTATTTTTTTACTGATAGCAAAAGAGCCAGATTTCTGAAGATCCTGAGAATGTAAGAGGGCACTTAACTGTATGGATACTTCCCTTGTTAACACAGATTGATTACAGATTAAAATGCTTATTGATACACTCAAATACTAACTGCATAATCTGACCTTGAGACATTGTTCTTAATATTTCTGTGCATGTGGCTTTCAAAGCAGTTACATTTGAATCCTGAAGAAATTGTATGTAATGACTAAGTTCTGTAAACCCATTTGTCTAACACACAGGCACATGTTTGTTCTATAAAGAATTTTGGCAGAAAGACAAGAATTGTGTCTGGGGGCCCAACCTACTTCATTGAATTCATAAGGCCTTCTAGTTTTAATAGAATTCTTCCAAAATATATGATAGCTGGCTGAAGCATAAAAGACATTAGATGAAGTTGTTGCAGAAATTCTGGGGTAAAATTTCCCCAAATTTCATTTATTCCCATTAGAAGAAAGGAACATGGAGTCCTGGACTGATTGCCTTTTGTGTGAGCGCCCGCTGCTGGCCAATGGCTGCCAGTGCGGCTGACAAGAAATTCAGACTTCAGTTTGTTGGGTCAGTGTTTCCCCTAGTTGGTGAAGCTGGAGGCAGGCATTCTTCAGTGAAGACATGGTGTATTTTAAATTTATTATTCTTAAATTAAATGTTTAATTGGAGGATAATTGCTTTGTTGTGCTGGTTTCTGCTGTACAAGGTGAATCAGCTATAAGTGTACGTATATCCCCTCCCTCTAAGTTTATTATTCTTGAAGTGAGATTTTTTTTCTAGTAGCAGTGCCACAAGATATGGAGATTTTTTTTTTCTTCCTCCCTCTGTTTAGTATCAAACACCCAATTCAGATCTTACCAGAGTGGCTCAGAAGTGATCTTACCAGAGCACTTAAAAGCGTGGCTTCATGGCGCACCCTGCCGGCCAAGATGCCAATTGAAAAAAAACCTGAAAGCTGCTTCCTCTTCTGATTTACCACCACAAGAGAATGAGATTAAAACAAAGGATTTTTCTTCCCAGCAGCTGAAATAGACAACTCAAGACCGAATTTTTTTTTTAAAGCCTCCGTTCTGAAGGGTTCCTTTTTGTGCAGCTACTTCAGTGATCTGGGTCTCTCCTCTGCTCCCAAAGTAGGCTCCTCCTGCTGCATCCAGAGTCAGTCTGCATGAGGCCTCCCTCCTGCCTCTCCTTGCGCTTCTCGCAGAGCCTTGGCTTTCCCTCTCAACTGCCCCACCCTCCGTGGCCCCAGGACTCTCCTCTTGGGATACTCTATCTTAGTCGAAGAAAGTAATAATCCTGAAAGCAGGGTGGTCCTATCCAGCTGAGCATTTCTGTGACATACAGGGAAGGACAGGGAAGCAGGTTGCTAGTTCCTTTTGCTGATGGCTGACCGAGTGCAGTGCAGAGCCCAGATCATCCGTGGGCACTCTCTCACCAGTCAGGAGACACCCAGAGGATCTTGGAACGGGGAGAAGATCACGTTCAGTGGGTGTTTGCTTTTTATCTAGAAGTAGTAGCGACTTTTTGGGCTTTCCTGGTGGCTCAGACAGTAAAGGATCTGCCTGCAATGCGGGAGACCTGGGTTCAATCCCTGGGTCGGGACGATCCCCTGGAGAAGGGAACATTTACCCACTCTGGTGTTCTTGGGCCTTCCCTGGTGGGAAGTGACCTTTTACCCAGAGGACACTGAACTCCATGTCAAGAAAAGAAAGGTACTGTTGCCTTTGCTTCTTCCTGTTAATTTTGCATTTCTGTTCTTGTGACTATGACCCCAGTTATTAAAATGTAGCTCTGGATGAGATTCTTTTTTTTGTGAAAGCAGGTAAATTGAACAACCTCTACCTAAGGCACATATGGAGCTTCCCAGGTGGCACAGTGGTAAAGAATCTACCTGCCAATGCAGGAGATGCGGGTTTGATCCCTGGGTTGGGGAGATCCTCTGGAGGAGGCAATGGCAACCCATTCCAGTATTCTTGCCTGGGAAATCCCATGGACAGAGGAGCCTTGTGGGCTACACGTCCATAGGGTCACAAGCATTGGAACATGACTCAGCAACTGAGCATACACACGCAAGGCACATGTAGATGAAGGGGACTTTCCAAACAATTAAGTTTCCGATTTTTATTTCATAATTTTTTTGAGTGTGAAGAGCTGAAGCAAGCGAAGAAGTTTTACAGACTTTTTTTTGGTTTACTTTTAAAATAATCTATGATGGTTTTTTCTACCTGGTTCATAAGCAAACTGACCCCTTGAATATGTTGAAATCCCCAGAGTACCGCTGGAATGACTAAAGATATTTATAACGTAAAAGATTCTACTTTCTGCTTAAGCTTTGCACTGCTTTCTGTCACTTTAGGGTTTGTTGTCTTTTCCCTTAAATTGTCCAGACGGAGAGATCCAACTAGCTAAAACCACAGAATAACCAGAAACTGCCGGGGGCAGCTCTGTCAACAGGTTTTGTCAGTTGATTACATTGCTAACCTCTTTGGTTGGAGAGGTGAGTGGGGATAGAGGTCCATTCAGGCTGATCTAGATGATTTCAAATTGGTTAAGATTCTGCCACACTTAAGACTGTTAGAAAGAGATGGCCCTCTGGGTTCTCCATCAGGTTCCATCAAAATCTGAGGTTTTAAAACATGTGAGGATCTTACTGGCTCTTTTTGCATGGAGTTGAAACTCTTGCCTTTCTATTGAGTCACCATGTTTCTTACCTCTGAGCTGAGGCGAAATGATTGTTTTAGGATTAAGAATATGCGCCCCTTCCCAGTTCCAGTTAAACTTTTCTCCTGCGTTGAGCTCCAGGGATGGAGGCTCTCAAGCATAACCGTCACTGAATTTTCTCTTTTAAATCTAATCCCCTTCCTCTTTTTTTCCTGGTGACACTCTTTGGAAAGTCCACTTTAACGGCTCCTCATCGTCATGTATGGGAATGTTGCTAAGAATCCCAGATTCTTCTCATTCATCTCAGCCAGCACCACTGGTGTGGTTTCCTTAGCTCCAGTTCCTAGACTTCCTTTGTTAGGTTTAATACTTGACCCTTGCTCACATCAAATTGTATGCAGAAGTACAGAGATCTGCGCTAGGAACTTACCAACCAGATGTAGACTTATGACATTAATCTTGTCCATATTTGGGTGATGGATGTTCAGTTTGAGGGCCAATCTACTTTTTTAAGTCACGGAGTCAGTTACATACACATTAATGTCAAGTAGCTATTGCGGGGAAGAGGGAAAATGATAGATTAGAGGAATATTAACTATTCTAATTTGTGCTGATAAACTTCACTTATCAATATAACTTATATTTGGCTGCATGCATCTGACACTTTTCATCTTGCCTCACGTGTTTTCCATTTTTTCTTTCTCAGTAGACTAGCTCATGTCCCCTGCCCACCTCATCCTCTTGTCCATAGTGCTCATCATCACCCCCGCCCCCAGCCCCTCCATCTCAGTCCACGCCCATCCCGTCTCCATCCCCCTTCCTGTTCGCCCTTTGGCGGAAGGTACTGGTGGCTCAGCCTGCATGCCGCGCCCTTCTCCTCCTCTGCTGGCATGTCACGGTGGCACTGTTGTGTTTCTTCCTCTTCCTTTTTACTAACAGACGCAGACCAAACTGGAGCATGCCCGCATTAAGGAGCTTGAACAGAGCCTGCTCTTTGAAAAGACCAAAGCTGACAAACTCCAGAGGGAGTTAGAAGACACTAGGGTAATGGTTTTCACTATTTAACGAAGGGCTGATCCATGTTTGTGAACACGGCGGGTGACGGGCCCTGCAGTTGGCCTACAGCCCTGACCCAGTGGTTCGACTTGAGTCTGCTGGTCCTGGTACCGCCCAGGTCCTCATGGGTGTAGACTGATGGGAGGGCCCAGGTGCTTTATGTCGAAACTTTTGTCCAAGGTGAAGATTCATTCCTTTGGTTAACTTGGCCAAAATCATCATCTAAACTCTGCAACTATACAGACTGCATGGACATCCACAGCTGCATTTGAGGGTCTTTGTATGAATACCAGGAAATAACCTTTCTCCTGTTTGCCACCAGCAGTCAGTTGTCCTCTTGTTCTCATATTCCTAGTGGGTTTTCTAAGTAATTTTTTTGTTATTATTTTACTTTAGCTCTCTTTTTTCTGCCTTCTTCCCTGACCTCTTGGGTGAAGAGACTGGAAAACATTGGCTCTTTTTAATGAGAGTTAAGGATTTTCACCCCAGTTTTTTAAAGTTTTTTCCCTTGGCACTTGATCTCTTTGTATTTCTGTTACCCAGTAGGTTAAATTCTCAGTGGTCAGGAGGGAAAAGTGTGTTGGGAACAGAATGACTTCTGCCAACCCCCAGCTCACAGTGTTTGGCCCTAGGAGGCAGTGCATTAGTCATATGTTCACTTGAAAAATGAAACAAGTGAAATTTATTTATATATTTAAGCACCCATAAGGGCTTTCTTTATACCAGACACTATTCCCAGCACTTTACAAATGTTAACTTAGTCTCACCACAGTCCCATGAGGTAGGTAGTAGCGTTGTCTCCATTTTACAGATGAGTGGCACTGAGGCACTGGCACTAATATGTCCCAGGTCGCACAGCTAATAGAGATAGTGGGGCCAGGATTTGCATTTGGGCCATTTGACCCCAAAGTCTGTGCTGTTAACCACTACAGGATGGAGTCTGTCTATTACAGAAGTCATTTTGTGCTAAAAGATTTAAGAACTAATCTGAGTCACATATAAGAAAACACGTATGTATGTATACCTTTTAAATCCTGAATTTGACTGTCAGTAGCTAAATCACCCAGATCCTTAACTTTAAAATTTCAAAAATTATTCTATCTCTAATCAAATTTGGTATCCTGATTTTTCCCTTTTGAATTATTAGCGTTTGTAAAAAATTCTTGAGAAATCATTAATCTAAAAAAAATCTAGAAAATCAAGTCATTTTTCTTTTCTAAGTCATGAGTTTTTTATTGTTTGAGAAGAAAGAAAATGTTCTCAGTTGGCCTCAAAACTAAAGATGTCTTCTGTGTATTTGGTAAGGAAAAAAATCCTGGTAATTTGGTGCCATGTATTTGTTACCTGAGAGTCAGACTTGATCTGGGAAATACAAGGAACTGATAGGAAGCCTGAGCTCCTGTGGTGTGGCTGGCTATTGAAGTAAGGATTTTTTTTTTTTTTTTAACTTCCGAAGTGCTCTCCTATAGAGCTTTGTCAGCAAACAATTTTTTTAACTTTTCTGTGGATAAGAAAGCATCCATTCACAGCACAGTTTATTCAAGTATTTCAGATTCAAACTGTTAGCTTCCTGTAACAGTCCTGTTGATCCTCACTCTAGGTCTGCCAAGTATGGAACTAACTCCTGACCCATATAAATTTCCCATCACCCACATTCCTTTTTGGGAAGTGCTGTAAAATTCCTCTAAGCCAGTAAGCTCAGCTTATAAACAGCGTGCTTGGTGCTGTAGAGACATCAGCAAGAATTACAAACAGTAACCTGACTTTTATGGTGGGAAAGGCAGACACATAGATAGTTTCACCTGAGGGCAGATTTGGGGAAGTTAAAAATAGAAGTGCTGTGAAAGTGCTCCATAATCAAACTATTATTTTCCCTCATTTTTTACTTGGCATTTCCTCAGTTTGACAGTTTTGTTGTGACTGATTAAGAATTAGTGCCCTCTTGGGTTCAATTTATTTGTATTATAGACCTCATAGCAATGGAGTTTAATAATGTACCTTATTTTGTGGTAACAAGCTCTCCGAGTCCTCACCTCCCCACCTCCACCCCAGAAAGAGCTAAGTCAGTGAATTACCATCTTTCAAATACCTACATACAATCCTGAAACACAACAGTTAGAGCCAGCTCTGAAATGTTCAGTGACTTGATCATGCCGTCTTGGGAGTCCCAAGTGCTTTATTTTCTTGTTCGTGATTGACCCTTTAGTCTTTATCCACCTCACAGCCTGTTGTTGGGCCAAGGGGCTGAAGGAAACATACATCCATTGTCTCCTGTCCTGTTAAAGGCAGCGAGGGAACGCACCTTCACCCTGCAGGACATTTGATCTGTGAAATTTGGGACTCACTGATATCTTGAAATCATTCAAGTTCCCCTTCTATTTCCCTGGTTAGCCCAGTAATTAATTTTTGTGCCTGAAGCTATCATTTCCCACATTTTTGTGCACCGAACTGACTGCCTATCAGATAACAGAGGGAAATAGCTTCCAAGAATAAAAGGACGAAGGTTAGGAAAATGGTTTTCCTCATCCTGGGGTATAAGTTTAAATAACAGTAGATTCCCAGGTTCTGTCCCCAAGCTCAGGTAGAATCAGCGTGTGTGGGCCACTGGTGACTCACGCACACACTAAGGTTGGAGAACCACTGGGTTAGGGCAGTGACACATGTATGCCAAGACGGTGAAGGAATTACAAACCCTAAAAGGGGGTGGGGGGGGATTCCGTATAAGATTCTTACGTATCATTGCAGGTAAGTAACCATTTTTCCCTTGTCCTCTCTTAAAAAAAGTCTCGTCAATTTGTTCTTCTTTATCCACTTGAGGCTTTCATTCCCCAGTCGTGGTATTCACTGAAACGTTTCCTAGGTAGTTTTATGCCGGTGCTACCCAACAGGATTATGACATGAGCCACAGATGTTTTATAATTTAAAATTTCCTGGTACCCACATTAACGTGCATAGGTTAAAAGGAACAGGTGAAATTAATTTAATAACATTTTATTTAAACCAATATATCCAAACTATTATCGTTTCATCATATAATCAACATAAGAAATTGTTAACAAGATACATTCTGTTTTCCCCTGAGTCGTCATTATTTGATGTATATATGACTCTCATAGCCTCATTTCAAGTGCTGAGTAGCCGTATGTGGCTCATGGCTGCTGTCCTGGACAGCACACTTTGGTAAAGTCACTGCCAACAGATAGATAAGCGTTTATACGCCTTGGGTAGAGTAGGCAAAGCAAAGATTCTTCTTCCAGAAGGCAAATATATGAGAACTTTGAAAGGTACTGTTTATATTAACTAACTATAGTTAATGGGTACTCCTCCTGATTTAAGGTTCTTTAGATGGAAAAGAGCTATTTGGGGGTGAGTTAAGCTCAATAAAGCTCAGTTTTATTTTCCTTTAGCATCTCAAAATGGTGACAAGTTTGCCAAAGACTGTAATTTGGACTGTATTTTGAATTGGAGCATGTAGAACCAGACTTAAGCCACAGTCACGCCTGGATTGACACACAGACATTCTTGGTGGCTTGACTGCTGCCTGAGATGGGGTAGTCACTAAAGATCTCCAAGGTTAGAGAAAATTGTCAGTGATTTGTCATTTAAATGGTCTCTTCTTTCTCCTTGACTGATGCTAACTAGGTGGCCACGGTGTCAGAAAAGTCCCGCATCATGGAACTCGAGAAAGACCTCGCTTTGCGAGTGCAGGAGGTAGCTGAGCTGCGGAGGCGGCTGGAGTCCAATAAGCCGGCTGGGGATGTGGACACGTCACTGTCCCTCTTGCAAGAGATCAGCGCTTTGGAGGAGAAGATAGAAGCCACTCATAGTGACCATCAGAAAGAAGTCGCTTCTCTGAGGGAGCATTTTGGAGCCCGGGAAGAAACACACCAGAAGGAGTTAAAGGCTCTGCAGGCCGCCACAGAGAAGCTTTCCAGCGAGAATGAGTCCCTGAAAAGCAAGCTCGACCACGCCAACAAGGAGAATTCAGACGTGATCATCCTGTGGAAGTCCAAGCTGGAAACAGCCATTGCGTCCCACCAGCAGGCCATGGAGGAGCTGAAGGTGTCCTTCAGCAAGGGGGTCGGCACCGAGACAGCTGAGTTTGCGGAGTTAAAAACGCAGGTAGAGAAGATGAGACTAGACCACCAGCAGGAAATAGAAGAGCTGCAGAACAGGCAGGACTCGGAAAGGTGTGCTCACATGAAAGAGCTCGAAGGCCTAAAGGCTAAGCTGATGCAAGTCATTAAAGAGAAGGAGAACAGTCTGGAAGCCATCCAGACGAAGATGGACAAAGCAGAAGACCAGCACCTAGTGGAAATGGAGGACACCTTAAACAAACTGCAGGAAGCCGAGCTAAAGGTAAAGGAGCTAGAGGTGCTACAAGCCAAATGCAATGAGCAAACCAAGGTTATTGATCATTTTACATCACAGCTCAAGGCTGCCAAAGAAAAGCTCTCGGATCTTGATGCACTTCAGAAGGCCAGCTCTGAAGGTAAATCCGAAATCGAGAACCTCAGACAGGAGCTCAAAGCAGCTAAGAAACAGATTAAAAGCTTAGAGAGTGAAAAGGATGCTGAAAGCGGCAAGGTTTGTAGCGACATCCTCCATCTTTTTTTTTTTTACCTCCATTTCTTATCTTGAGTTGTACCCTATTTTTCAGTTGAGGTCATACATCCTCCAAACTTCTGACTTAGTTAAAACTGGTGCTGACCTGATTTCCCATATGAGTGGAGTATCTTCTGAGCATCATGAGTATGGTTTCATCTGAGGAGATTAGAGAAAATAACTCAGGGGTGTGGATGGATTCTGGTTTCTTCATATCAGAATACTTTATTATTGGGTTGGCCAAACAGTTCGTTCAGGTCTTTCCATTAATACCTTATGGAAAAACTTGAACTCACCTTTTGACCAAACTGATACTTTATCTCTGGATTTGCTGTGATCTCTTGTTTCAGCTTGATTCCAGTCTATAAACTCTTTTGGAAATAGAGAACACCCCAAAATGATGGTGTTGAGGTAAATGAATTGAATGTATAAGAAGCTTAAAAGATAATCTCATCCTTTCCCACTGCCTGTCTGTCGAGTCATATGTAGGCTTTCCAGGTGGCTCAGTGGTAAAGATTACGCCTCCCAACACAGGAGCCATGGGTTTGATCCCTGGGTCAGGAAGATCCCCTGTGGAAGGAAATGGCAAGCCACTCCATTATTCTTGCCTGGAAAATCCTGTGGCCAGAGGAGCCTGGTGGGCTACAGTCCATGGGGTCGCAAAAGAGTCAGACATGACTTAGCGACTAAATAACAAGAGTCACAGGTAAAACAGAATGTGAACTCTGAGGGCACTTGACTCTTGTAAATTAACATGCTGTGATTAATAACATTCACAGCAAAATGAAGGTTAACAACCCGGAGCCCTCCACATTGCTACTTATGTCTCATTGGAGATTTTTCCTATGTCAGTGAGAGCATGGTCTATTCCTTACTCTTTGGAGGAAAGACTGGACAAGTGTGTTTTTGACCAAGCCATAGAAAATGATAGGAAACCTTTGCCAGCTACATTTCTTACTAACTAGCCTTGTTAAATGTCATAATCATTTTTAACTATTGTTCGAGGAAGGAATCCTCTTTCCCAGTCGTCCTGCCACTAGTTGAGGCACTGGTACTGATGCTGAATGTTCTGAGCTTTGTGTGGGAGAAGCTGCTCTATTGGCAAAGGAGGAAGGGTTGTGATGGTTAAATGGGGAGAGGTGAGGACAGACAAATGGCAAAGATTGCTAAGTAGCCTTAGCCGAAGATGACAATCCCAGAAAATTTTTCTCCAGTTTCCTCATTTGGTTCCGAACTACCAATCCAAACACAAAAATTAAATTAATAAAGAATATGTAGCTAATGGTTGGTCTACTTTTTTACATGAAGATTCAATGAAAGGCAATTTTTCTGATGGCTGTTGTCTAGTACATGTTTAAAGTTTTATTTTACATGTTGAAAAACTTAAGCATGTACAAAATACAAAAAATGAAATACAGTCAACTTGAGTCTACTACCATTCCTGTCTTTAAAAATCCAGAAAGTGAAATTGCTCAACTGTCTGATTTAGAAAGTAAGCTGCTGGGACTTCCTGGGTGGTCCAGTGGTTAAGTATCCACCTGCCAATGCAGGAGACATGGGTTCGATCACTGATCTGGAAACTCAAATCTGACATGTTCCGGGGCAGCTAGGCCTGTGCACCACAAAAAAGAAAAAAAAAATACAGTAAACATCTATATTTTCTGTTTTAGATCATGCTGATAGTCCAAATTTAGGTATAGAAAAATACTATATTTTGATTATTTAAAAATAGCCATGGACAGTCTTATCTAGAACTGATTGTGTGACAAGTCATTGGCTTCTTAGAACTAAAAGCAACAACACTAAAATGACTTTTTACCCATGCCTTTGTTCCTTTCAGTTTTGTTTGGTTGTGTTTGTTTCTCATACATTTTTTTCACATTCGTCTTATGTTTTCTTTCTCATTCCTTTTTGTTTCCTTTGGTCCATCGGCTTCTGTACCATGTAACTGTCTGGTAGGCTAGTAGCATCACCAAAGAGCTGCAGGGAAAAGAGCTAATGCTTAATAACCTTCAGGAAAACTTGAGCGAAGTCAGCCGAGTGAAAGAGGCTTTGGAAAAAGAACTGCAGACTTTGGTAAGTACCTGTCAGGAATCTGAATCTCAGGGTTTCTGGCCAATTTGAATCGTTCCTGTTTAAAAAAAAAAAACACGAAAATTTCTATAAAGAAAGAAGTATGGCACCTATTTCCTTTCTCTTGCAAAGTATTGATTGGCTGATAATCAGGGGAATTGGATCAAACCCAAACTAGTAATAAAGGTAAGTATTGCTTTTTTTTTAATCCGTCCTTTGCCTCTGGTAATGCATTGACGTTTTGACATGTTGCTGACTACTTAGTTTCACTAAACATGGGGACCTTCCAAGTTATGTTAGGTTTCATGTGTAGTTCTTGCCCTGTGCCTTGTCCTCCCTGCCCTGAGACAGTAAAGCCAGCAAGCTCCCTGGACCACAGGCACCCTCCATTAGCAGGGCAGTGATGTTTGTGTGTACTCGGTCATGTCTGACTCTGTGACCCCATGGACTGTAGCCCACCAGGCTCCTCTGTCCATGGGATGCTCCAGGCAAGAATACTGGAATGGGGGGGTCTTCCATGTACCTTCTTGATTTCCACTTTTTATACCTCTGTGCTAATACCAGTGGTGAATAAAAGTGTTTGATATTTCTTTGATTTAAATACCAATATTACATATTTCTACTTTTTAAAATGTTCATATGCAGTTAACTGCACTATTCATTATGATAGCTACCATCCACTTGGCTCTATAAATTTCAATTAATTAAAATTAAATAAAGTAAAAATTTGAGACTTTCCTGGTGGTCCAGTGGCTAAGACTCCACGTTCCTAATGCATAGGGCCCAGGTTTGATCCCTGGTCAGGGAACTAGATCCCATGTGCTCCAACTAAGAGTTTTCGTGCTGCGACTAAGACCTGGTGCAGCCAAATAAATAAATATTTTTAAAAATACAGAAAATTAAAAAAAAATACAGAAAATTCAGTTCCTCCATTGCACTAGTCACATTAAGTGCTTAGTAACTACACGTGGCCAATGGCTGCCAACTGACCAACACAGTATTGTAGAGAATTCTGACGAACCCCCACAGTTTTGATACATAGTATTTCAGGTACATTTTGAGAAAAGTTGGCCTGGAAATTACCATTTTTTAATATAGTGTCCTTTAATAAAGTGCACTTTGGGTGTCATGCCATTTCTCTGCCCTCCTCCCCAAACTTTCAGGATGCCTTACTTTTTTTTGTTTTTCAAGTTAGAGTATTCCTCTGTGTCCTCTGCAAAGAAAACATGCCTCCTGGAGTTTGGCCTTGGGAATAACGCAGGTGGACAATGTGGGCTGTGATGGACTTGTGGCTTGTGAGCCCGTTTTTTAAATCAAATATTCATTTAAAAGTTCACTTGGTATCTCTAGCTCAGAATTCATCTCAGGAAAATCAGGAGAGTGGTTTTATTCTGCTTTCCTGTCATGTTTAGAAAAGATAGTGAGTGAGCGGTGGACTTTTTAATGTAAAGTAGTTGACACAGATCTAGTTTCCAGATACTAGGTTCTAATTATTCTTAGATGTAAAACATGTCAGAAGTCAGATCCACAGACGTGGAAAACAAACTTAGGGTTACCAAAGTGGAAAGGTGGGAGAGAAGAATAAGTTAGGAGCTTGTCGTTGTCGTATACACGACTATATAAAAAATAGATGACCCACAAGGACCTAGTATAGCACAGGGAGCTACACTCAATGTTTTGTAATAACCTATAAAAGAGTTAGAAAAAGAATAGATACTTGTGTGTGTATAACAGAATAACTTTGCTGTACATCTGAAACTAACATAGCATTGTAAATCAACTAAACTCAAAAAAAAAAAAAAAGAAATATTAAAAAACTATTTCTGAACTCTGGTCGCTGTCTCAGGCAGGTTATGGAGAAGTTCTGCTACTTGATGGTAGCAACATGCAGAAAAAGTATACACATGGCACCACATGTATATTCCCACACATGCATATACTGACATAAGTGTGCATATCCATACACATATACAGACATGTGCATGCCCAGCCAGGCACATAGACACAAACCTCATTCACTCGTGTGCATACATGCATAGTACCCATATGGTAGTAATTGACACCTACATGTTTTTTGTTTTTTTTTTTCATTTATTTTTATTAGTTGGAGGCTAATTACTTTACATCATTGCAGTGGTTTTTGTCATACATTGAAATGAATTAGCCATGGATTTACATGTATTCCCCATCCCGGTCCCCCCTCCCACCTCCCTCTCCACCCGATCCCTCTGGGTCTTCCCAGTGCACCAGGCCCGAGCACTTGTCTCATGCACCCAACCTGGGATGGTGATCTGTTTCACCCTAGATAATATACATGTTTTGATGCTGTTCTCTTGAAACATCCCACCCTCGCCTTCTCCCAGAGTCCACAAGTCTGTTCTATACATCGGAGTCTCTTTTTCTGTTTTGCATATAGGGTTATTGTTACCATCGTTCTAAATTCCATATATATGTGTTAGTATACTGTAATGGTCTTTATCTTTCTGGCTTACTTCGCTCTGTATAATGGGCTCCAGTTTCATCCATCTCATTAGAACTGATTCAAATGAATTCTTTTTAATGGCTGAGTAATATTCCATGGTGTATATGTACCACAGCTTCCTCATCCATTCGTCTGCTGATGGGCATCTAGGTTGCTTCCATGTCCTGGCTATTATAAACAGTGATGCGATGAACATTGGGGTGCATGTGTCTCTTTCAGATCTGGTTTCCTCTTCACCTACATGTTTTAAGCATAAGTTAGCTTTAATGAAACAAAACTAGCAACAAAAAGTAATGTTACAGTGATTGAAACTTTTTATAATTTGAGATCTATCTATTCTGATTGTCCAATTGTTTTTCTTTAGAAAGAAAAGTTCGCTGATGCTTCAGAGGAGGCAGTCTCTTTTCAGAGAAGTATGCAAGGTACGTCTCAGTAACATAAGAGCACTTTAGAGGAGGTCCCGTCTTCAAGCGGGAGCCAGTCTTCAGCTCAAATAAAGTCCCTGCAGTGCATAGTAACACTACATTCCCTTGGCTTCTTAAAGCCTCAAATTAATTCTTTTTATTTTTTTATGAGCAGTGTGAAATGTATATGGGTTTATTTTCAGTTTATCCCCTTCTACATTATACCTACTGTTAGATGCCAACACGTCTAACACATTAAAATATTCGCACATTAAAAAAAAATTTGAAAGGCATCGTCACTTCTCTCATACTGTCAGCCAGTCAGCCGAGCTGTGTCAGCCTTCAGTCCATGCCTTCAGCCCCCTTCCCCACCATCCTGAAGTCCCAACATGTGCTCAGTGACATGGAAAGAGCCAGCATCACCATTCAGACACAGCTTACCTTCCCAAACTGCTGTCACCTCTGCAGCCTAATCATTTCACCTGAAATCTATCCTGCCTTCTAGAAATATACAGTCCAGTTTCCCAGTTGTATTAAAGGACTCACCCCTGTCAAATATACCCAAGACACATTGGGTAAGAGCAGCAGGTTACAAAATAGTATATACTCCATGGCTCCATTTATACAAACCTATGCGTGCCATTTCCTACTCCAGGGGATCTTCCCGACTCAGGGGTTGAACTTTCATTAATTACATCCCCTTGGCAGGTGGACTCTTTATGACTAACACCACCAGGGAAGCTCATATAAAACGATATGCACATGTATTCAACACTAACCCCCAACACAGATATTTGAATGGATCGTGCCCACAATATTTCTAGTAATGAACTCTGGGTGGTCAGGTTGACTCCCATTAATTTTTTCTTCTTTTTGACCTAAAGCTTGACTCATGTTAAAATGTAGATGTACTTGGGTAAGTATCATCATACTTAAGCTTCAGTCATTGGTAGCTCTATTGAGTTTTAAGTGGAAGGAGGCAAGAGATCCCTGGAGAATGGATGTTCAGTGCCTCCCTAATCTACACATCTGGGGAGACAGAAAATTGCTTGCTCAAGCTTCTTTAGGTTCATTATATAGTGGTTTGATTTCTAATGGGATTCTTTAGTATTCCCGTGACCCCAAATCTCAAACTTTTGACTTGATTTGATTATACGACACTCAAGCTTTAGGTGGCTTATTAACTCTTGAGATGTATTAAACTTTTAACTTAATCCCAAATAGAAACTATAAATAAATTACACCAAAAAGAGGAACAGTTTAACGCACTGTCTTCCGAACTAGAGAAGTTGAGAGAAAATTTAATGGGTAAGGACACATCTCTGGTTATTACAAACATTAAATATAGTAGGCTTCCTCGGATTTGAGATGATTTTAGTGTGTGGTTACAACCTATCTACTGTTCAAGCATAAAGTCTTTACTCATTGTGTTCTCTTGTGATGAAAAACTTGTTGGACGTCTGTAAACCTCAGCAAATTCTCTCTGCTTTGTTTTCAAACAAGTCAGAATCTACCACACCTCACCACTCCCAGTGCTGCTCTTCATCCCAGCCAGCCAGCATCTTTAGCCCGAGCTGCAGTAACAGCTGGCCACCTGGGCTGCCCACTTCCGCTCTTGCCCTCTTCAGTCTTAGCACAGCAGCCGAAGAGATGCTTTCAGCATCAAGTCAGACCATGTCACATCTCTGCTCAAGGTGGCCCGGTGGCACCCATCTTGCTCAGAGTAAAAGCTGTGGTCCTTAACTCCCATCAGGTCCTGTTACCTTTTTGATTTCATCCCGTGCTATTCTTCCCCAAGTTCCTTCCGCTGCGGCCATATCTGCCTCCTTGGTGATACTTGATTGTGAAGCATGTTCCTGCCTCAGGGCCTTTCTTCTGCCTGCATTCCTCTTCCCTCACTTCCCCTAGGGTTTTACTTAAATGTCACTGTCTCAGAGAGGCTCTTTCTAAGATTTCACACTCCCCAGCTTCCTTCCTGGCTCCTGTCTCTGCTTGTATTCTTTTCCCCCTCTTAGCACTTACCACACTCTAATACATGATGATTCTCTTTCTTGTTCATTGTCTCTCTTCTTTGCTAGAATATAATTTTCATGAGAGCAGGGATTGCTACGTACAGATAATCCCAGAGCAAGTTTTGGCATACAGGATGTAGTTAATACATTGTTGTTGGTTATAACACAACAGCTCTTTTTTTTTATATATATATATGTATATTCAGATATGGAGGCAAAATTCAGAGAGAGAGATGAAAGGAAAGAGCAGCTGTTAAAGGCAAAGGAAAAACTGGAAAATGACATTGCAGCAATAATGAAAATGTCTGGAGACAATTCTTCTCAGCTGACAAAAATGAACGACGAACTACGTCTGAAAGAAAGGTATGTATGAGTATTAATAAGAGCGTCTGCTTTAGGTTAGGCTGTCAAGGAAGGTCTAGATGGGAGGAGAGCCAAACTCTTCAGGATAGTTATGTTTTAAAAGTTGCCTGTCTCTTGTCCTTTATTGTCTCAGTGTATTCTTGAATCAATTATTTAACCTTCTAAGGGGAAGATAGTAGTTTACCAATGGCAATAACATCTTTAAAAAAAAATTTTTTTTTTATTTATTAATTTGGCTGTGCTGGGTCTTAATTGTGGCATATGAACTATTAGTTGTGGCTTATGGAATCTAGTTCCCTGACCAGGGATTGAACCCAGACCCCCTGCATTGAGAGCATAGAGTCTTAGCCACTGGACCATCAGGGAAGTCCCAGGCAGTAAGTAACATCTTTTACAGGCAGTTCAAAATATTTTTAACCTATTGCAGTGTAATGATAGATAACGATTATGAAGGGCTGACCACATGCCACATGGTATGCCGACCTCTTTGTACAGAGTATGTTTTCCTGATAATCCCACGAGGTGAGTGTATCATTGTTCCCATATTAAAGAAAAAGAAATCGAGACATAATGAGGGTAGGCAACTTGCCTGAGGTTTCAAGTCTAGGCAGTCTGGTCCCAGCGCCCTCGCTGCCCTTCATCACGACTCTGTACTTCCTCAGCGCTAAAGCTTCTTACATTAAATCTCTGTCCTTGTCTTTATTCTGAGGCTCTTGTTGCTTTGATTTGTTTTAATGGCTGCTGTATAAAAATCAAATGTTTATTTTATAAGGCACATATTTTAGAAGACATGTTAGCACCATTAGACTTCTGATTCTGAAAGTGTTAACACTTGGCAGTTACATTTACATCCAGCCATGCGGGGGCTTCCCTGGTGGTCTGGTGGTTAAGACTCTTCCATTTATGCGCTTCCATTGCAGGGGGCACAGGCTTGATCCCTGGTCCGGGACCTAAGATCCCACATGGTGTGAGGTGTGGTCAAAATATAACAACACCAAAAACATTGAGCCGAGCGCTCCCACAGGGCTCCGTGGTGGTGGTGATGGGCACCTGGGCCTTGGTTGGCCGACTTTGGTCAGACTTGCCGGGAGGCGGGCACAGCTGCAAGGTGGTTGTGGCCAGAGCCTTGGAGAAGTTCCGTTTCTGTCAGCGTTTTATCCAGAGTTTCCATCCAAGTTTCCCTCCGCTCATGTATGAGACAGCCCGCTCTCTAGGCTGATAGCCCTCATACATCTTCATCGGACCACAAGGTTATCTCTAAGCTAGAACTTCAAATTATTGTTATTTTCATATCTGTATTCTGAAGTGGCACCCAAATGAGTCTTACATATTCTAGTCTGCTAAAATTTGGAAACCTCTAAGTACTTACTTCCTCTAATCCGTTTCCTTTTCTCTCATCTTTCTGTATTCCTTTCTCTCATCTTTCTGTATGTGCTGTGCTGTGTTCAGTCGTGTTTGACTCTTTGCAACCCTATGGGCTGTAGCCCACCAGGCTCCTCTCCATGGGATTCTCCAGACAAGAATACTGGAGTGGGTTGCCATGCCCTGCTCCAGGGGATCTTCCCGACCCGGGGATCGAACCCAGGTCTCCTCCATTAGAGGCTGATTCGTTACTGTCTGAGCTGGACATAAAATAACGAACGTTCATGCTTAGAGTAGTTGTTACCCTAAGGTATTTATAACCATCACAGTCGTTAAAAAGTATTCTTCAGGACAAGTCAAGTCTTTTTTTTTTGCTAATTCTAGATGTTATTGCTCATAACATTTATCATCATTAAGCCAATTATTATCAATATTATCTTTTAAAGTATAACTCTATTATTTAAAGTACTTTTTGGAAAAATCTGACGCTTCATTTTGAAATTCTTTCTAGAGATGTAGAAGAATTACAGCTGAAACTCACCAAGGCTAACGAAAACACAAGCCTCCTGCAGAAAAGTATCGGGGAAGTAACTCTCAAAGCCGAACAAAGTCAGAAAGAAGCAGGTAAAAAGCATGAGGAAGAAAAGAAAGAACTGCTGAGAAAACTGTCATACCTGGTAAGGAGAGAGAGAGTCAGTGGGACTGGTGGCCAGCAGGGGCAGAGAGGGTGGCTGGCAGGACAGCTGTGGCCAGGTGACTTCCTTCTGACATGGGGTATCTGCAGGAAAAGAAGATGGAAATGAGCCGCAACGAGTGTCAAGATCTGAAAGCCAGGTACGAGGAAGCCAGTTCTGAGAGCAGAGCCAAGCACGAAGAAGTCCTGCAGAACGTCCACAAGCTGCTCCGGGACACAGAGGAGCGGCTGAAGGCTGCACAGGAGGAGAACCGCGAGCTGCTGCAGAAGCTGGAGGAGCTGGGGAAGCAAGCCGAAGGAGCCAAAGTATGTGGTGGGGAGGACCGTGTGCCCCAGTATAGTGAGCTTTGCGTCCCGCGTCAGGATTGTAAGGGTGCTTAGGAAGCAGCAGCGCGTGGAAGGGGTTCGGTGGCCTTCAGAGCACATGGCAGGAAGGGGAAGGACGTCTCCTGTGGCTTCAAGTGTTTTGTACCAGCCGCTCTCCCTTCTCAGGGTTGGTGGTGGCTACAGGTCTTTCTTTCCACCCTGAATGGACTGTGTAGCCATCACTCCCTACGCTGCTTCACAAAGAGCCTTCTGTTGCCTGAGCTCTGTCCACCTGCTTGTAATAGACTCTGTCGCGGAAAAGCATGTCCCTCTAGTCTTGGCCGTCTTGCTGCCACCTTGCACCAGGGTTAGGAGAGACATCGTGCAGAAGAGCAAGAGGCAGAGGCCACGCGTGAGGCAGGTGGGCAGGGAATGGAGCCTGGTCGGAAGAGCAGAGGAAAAAGAAGGGAGACCTCTGGAGAAAGTTTTCCTATGTCCCCAGGAAGGCAGTGAAAGCTTATTAACAAGGAAGTTGGATTGAAGGGCTGTGAGAAAACATCCTACTACTGAGTAGAGTAGAACTCGATACATTGAATTTTATTTTATGGTGTCAGGATTGTGTCAGTGTCCCAGTATGTTTCCTGACCCACTTACTGCTATTTAAATTGCTCAAAGAAAAGTAAATTATTGTCTTTAATTGTTTTTAATGTGTCAGAGAAATGTTTATATACATGTAGGAGTTGAGTAGAAATATGTGTAGGACTTAAAACAGATCCCTGATACTGGGAATGACTGGGGGCAGAAGGAGAAGTGGGTGACAGAGGATGAGATGGTTGGATGGCATCACCAACTCAATGGACATGAGTTTGAGCAAGCTCCAGGAGATAGTGAAGGACAGGGAAGCCTGGCGTGCTACAGTTCATGGGGTCACCAAGAGTCAGACATGACTCAGCGACTGAACAACAAAACAGATCCCTTTTAAATTAAATGGAATACATCATAAGATACGTCATGTGTGAAAGTGAAAGATGCTCATTCCTGTCTGATTCTTTCCGACCCCATGGTCTATATAGTCCATGGAATTCTCGAGGCCAGAATACTGGAGTGGGTAGCCTTTCCCTTCTCCAGGGGAATCTTCCCAACACAGAGATCGAACCCAGGTCTCCTGCATTGCAGGCAGATTCTTTACCAGCTGAGCTACCAGGGAAGCTACATGCTGCCCATCAAGACTTTCTCTTTTCCCTGTGAAATATCTCCAGTTTTATGAAACATTTAGTACCGGATATAATTTCCAGAATTTTGGACTTTGAGGCTCCCTTTATCTTGGTAGACACCTGTTTTCTAATGTATTCCTTAAAATGCTGCAGCCTGACCAAACCACAGCATTCTAGAGGTTTGTGTAAAGCCCCATTAATTTTGTTTGCTGTTGTTTTCGTAAGGATCATTTGGTTAAAATGCCAGAATTGTTTCCCTTCCAAAGTAGTCTGAATATCGTATTTCTGTGAACCTCAGTGTTTGTCAGCAGCAAGGGCTCAGCAGACACTTTTGAGAGCTGATGAAACCTTCAGATGTTTTCCCCAGGAAAATTGATTTACACACTTAACCAGTTTGGGGTGAAATCTCAAGAAGTTCATGGAGCCCGCGATGCTCCCATGTTCCCTAGTTTAATAGCCAGAGAACTATGCCATGCCATCCAGTACAGTAGGCACTGGATGCATGTAGCCATTTAAATATAAACTAGTTCAAGTTATAAATTCCCCTTCTCAGTCATACGTGCCACACATGTGGTTAGTGGCTACCACAATGGACAGTGCAGATCAAATCCTTGTACATCATGACAGAAAGTTCTGGACAGCGCTGGTAGAGACACTGTGGTCAATTTATTTTATAAACCAATGCATTTTTTTAAAAGCCCATTTATTTTGGTCATCAAAGCCCAGCAAATTGGTCTGCATTTTTGTAAGTTACATGGAACATTGGGACTAAATCAGTCTCAGGCCAGGTTCTTTAGTAAGTAAGGGTCTGTAAGTTAGTTTGAAAGGCAACAGTTTATAACACCTCCTCCCTCTTCCCTTTTTTGGTTAAAATATACTCACTGTTTGTAGTTCTTTGGATTGTGTTTTTAAAAATTCTTCTATGAATCCCTCCTACGATAGAAACTACTGGATAATTGGGAACGGCAGGAAAAGAATCCCATGCCCTGATGTCACACTACTGTTTGTATCTTCTAGTTAACTGTTAGGAGTACTTCAGAGGTTGTTTCAAAGATGAATCAATAGAGTTATCAGCATTTGGCAAAGCTACAATTGCTTTGCATTATCCTTTTATGGGCTCTGTTCATCTAGTTTCTTTCCCCTGTAATCCAGATAGTTTCTATGACATTTACCATAAACTTTTTTTTAACTTCGATGACTTAGGTTATGTTAAGTTATTCGGGCTTGCATTTGTCTGCTTGATTTCATTTTGTTTCCATTCTTTCCATCTTTTGTCTCTGTAGTCGCTAACTTACTTACTAACATCAGCCAAAAGAGAAGTTGAACTAATGTCAGAAGAGCTGAGAGGTCTGAAATCAGAGAAACAGCTTCTTACCCAGGAGGGGAATGCTTTAAAGTTAGAAAAAGGTTCATTTCTGTCTCAACTTGTAGAGTTGGAGGCCAAAATAACTTTACTTCAGAAGGACCAAGAGAAGCTCTGTTCAGTAAATGAAACTCTTAATTTAGAAAAGGAGAAAGTCTGGGAAGAAAAGCAAGACATTGAAAAGCTTTATCAGCAGGAACAACTCAATAAAGCAGCTGTGGCTGTGGAGAGAGAGAAATTACTGAAAGAGATCAATATCGCGCAGGAGGACCTCTTGAAGATAAATACAGAAAACGAGTCTTTGCAGGCTTCCAAAGCAAGCTTGCAGGCACTCACAGAGGAACTGCAGTTCAGCAAAGATATTCTAATGGCTGAGTCTCAGAAGTATCGGGAAAAAAAAGACCGCCTGGAGAATCATATCAAGAAGCTGGTCACTGAAAACGTCGCATTGGCTAAAGATAAAGATGAAATTATTCGGAAGCTTCAGAGCTCCTACGAGGAGCTGGCCAAAGATCAGAAGAGCTTGGTGCAGGAGAACGAGGACCTCACAGTAGAGAAAAAGTCAACCTTGGAGAAACAGTCAGGTCTTGACAACATGTGTATAGCTCTAAAGGTCGAAAGGGATCATCTTCTTCAGAGCAGCAAAGACCTGCAGTTGGAGAAGGACATGCTGCTTCAAGATCAGGAAAAGCTGAACACCATTCTGGAGACTGCCCTCCAGGTTAAACATGTGCTTAGCACGGAAGCCGGTGAGCTCCGCGCACAGCTGGAGGAGGCCAGCAAGGCCCTGAGGAAGGCTGAGCTGGAGATTGTGCAACTGCAGGCCACGAACACGAGCCTCACAAACCTGCTGGAAGAAATTAAGACCAGCCGGGAGATCAGAAACTCCGAGTGCATTCAGCTTCTGCACGAGAAAGAGACCTTAACGTCATCCGAGAGAAGGCTCTTGGCTGAGAAAGAAGAACTGCTAAATGAAAATAGGCTAATCTCGGAAAAACTCAGCAAATACTCGGAAGAGTCTGCCCACATCGAGATGAACCTGAGTGAGAGGATCACGTACCTCACTTCTGAGAAGGAGCTGGTTTGTCAGAAAATCACCAAGCTCAAAAAGCAACAGGATATCCTCTTGAAAGAAAAATCGGTACTAGAGATGCGGAATGGGGATTTACTGGTAGAAAGAGAGAACTCCATGAAGGCCATGGAAGACCTTAAAAAGAAATATGATCAAGAAACAGCCAACAGAAGAATTGTTGTGTACGAGAAGATGAAACTGCTCAGCAAACTCGACGCTCTGAAGAAAGAACTTCAAGAGAGAGAAAAGGAAAACCAGGCGCTCACGGCCACCAAGTGCGATCTCTCACTGATGCTAAAAGAGGCCCAAAACGCCAAAAAGATGCTAGAAAAAGAACACACTGACGTACTGCAAGCCAAGGAGAGTTTAAATGCTGAACTCAAGGCCTGCTGTTCTGAAAAGAACATCTTGTTAAGGGATGGGTTGAATCTGCAAGAAGAATGTCAGAAGTTAAACGAGAAAATCCACACAATGCAACAGTCCCTGGTGCTGGAGAAAGAAGCCAGGACGCAGGACCAAGAGTCCTCCTTGTACGAGAGCAACAAGCTCCACAGGAGGGTGGCGCTTCTGGAGCAGGAGGTGGAGAAGCTGAGAGCCTGCACCCAGGAGCTCCAGTCCGAAAACTGCACGCTCATCCAAGATAAGACCAACTCAGAGCAGAGAATGGCTGATATCACCAAGGAGAAGGAACTCCTGAGTGCAGAGACAGCGCGTCTGGCCGCCAACATAGAGACTCTGAAAACTGACTTTGCTGCCTTGTCCAAGTCCAAGTTGGAACTGCAGGAACTGCACAACTACCTCACCAAGATGCTGGATGACCTGCAGCTGAATCACGAGGTAACCCTGGCCGAGCAGGCCAAGGTGACGCAGGACAACAGGAACCTCCTGGCCGAGAAAAGAGAGATGCTGAAAAAGGACGAGCTCCTGAAGGAGAAGGAGAAGCTGGCCGAAAGCTACTTCTTCCTCCAGCAAGAGATCAACCAGCTGTCCAAAACCAACAGCCACATCTTAGCCAACCTCCTGGAGTCTCAAAACGAAAACCGTATTTTGAGGAAAGACAAGAGCAAGCTCACTCTAAAAATCAGAGAGCTCGAGACTCTGCAGTCCTTAACGGTAAAGTGGGAGGTTCAGGGATTGGGCCCCTGGCCTTAACCATGTTCACTAACCCTGTAGTGGCTGAAGGAACGTGCCTTCATTTCCAAAGAAGGAAATGCACCCCATTTAATCACTTGGTCAGATATCTCAAGCTGTTTGTCACTACCTGAAAGGGCAAGCATTTACCAGATATCTAATTGCTGTCATCTCTCTCCATTAGAAAAGATTGCAAACTGTGAATAAAAAGGATAGATGTTTTTTAATTAGGGAGAATTTTTCTGAAAAGGCAACCATAGCAATACTATATCAACTAAGGATTTGTTTCCATGTGTATATTATCTTTTTTATTCACAGACATGCTTGTATTCATTGCCTACAGCTTCTCATGGACTTGGTCATTCAGTGCTTCTCATTAAACACTTGAGCCTTAAACACTGTAACCGCCCAAATAATTTCCATTTTTATTTGAAAAGTTCCCAACTGAAATTCCAAGTGATTTCAAAAGCCCCAAATTCGAGATAGCAAGAAGGATATTTTAAACTTCTAACAGTAAATATGATTAAGAGGAAGTTTGGCCACAGAAGGATGTAAACCTTTCTTATGAAGTGAACATTTCTCTCAAACATAAGTCAGAGTGATGAACACCATTGTCAGTGGAACTCAAAATTTAGAAGGCGTAGGTTTATAGGGATCTGAAAATACGTAAATTGCACATTTCAGTTTGGCTTGTTGAAAAATGGCACAGAAAGTGTCTATAACTTTGTGCTGCTTGTTCGTCTTGGTCTGTCTTGGCATCGGGTTGGTTACCAGCTCACCGTCTCTGTGTGATTCCCTTCACCACACAGATCCTGAGCCTCGTGGCCTGAGCGTTAGTCACCCCCTCCCAGGTTGATAAGAGGTGCCCTCATTTCTCACACTGCTTTCTCACACTTAGGCCGCTGCTTTCTCACACTTAGGCCACTCAAACCACTGGAGATGCCATGCAGATAAGGGAACAGATGACCAAAGAGGAGACCGAAATGCTGGCCTCCTTGGAGATTCTAAGCAAACAGATGAAAAACTGAAGAATGAAGTAATCAGATTTAAATGGCTTTTTGTACAAAGGACAGCCTGTCGACTTCATGGAATTCTTGATGACTAACTCAGGAGGGTTTATTTACTTTTTTTTTTGAAGTATGGCCTTACACAGATTTGATCTGTGTTAGTGGAGTTGCATGTACACCAGGATGATGATCTTATGAAATAAAGTGTATTACTTCATTACCTATTTAGTAAGATCAGCCTTTAAAAAAGGAGGGGAAAACCCTGGTAGTGTGGGTTTCTGCGATAGTTGTTCATTGACACAACTACTGTGAGGAGATACCAATGGCATTCTCCAGCTTTTGTGTTTTTTATCTTAAATCTCGTGCATTTTTTTTTTTCTCCCAGCTGCCTTCCAACTTTGAGCTACCGGATTCCATCCCTCAGCCCTGAGTTTGACATAGGCCTTTTTCTTGGCCTATTTCAGTACTGCCTCCCTTATATCTCATTCTGAATCAGTCACTTCTGGGTCTCAGACAGATTTGTGGTGTCAGGGTAATTTTGATTCTGTCCAAAAGTAGCATTTCTCATCCTTGCACCTCTCTTTTGATTCCCGCCCGCCCCCCTCCCCACACCCCATACCAGCCCTTTCTTTCTTTGGAAAGCTGTTACGTAAATCCAAAGCAGATTGCTTCGCCAAAATAGTTATGTGAAGTTCTATAGAACTTCAGATGCTTTTTAAAGTGACAGTCAGGTGAGATGTTAAAAAGTTAAAGCCAGGGAAGATCCAGACAGGCATGCTGAATAGCAGTCGTAAAGATCAGACCTCCTTATGATAGCAGAGCAAGGACTGGAATCCATAAAGGCATAAACACTTTGAAATAATTAGAAGGGAAATAAAGCATGACGCAGAAAAGAGTACATTTATGATTGAGTTGACAGTGCTAAGAGAACAAGACTTAAGCTGAAGACATAAAAGCATTAAAAATTATCGATGGTAATCGATTGGAAGCTAAAGTAAATAAGATTTTAAGGAATGTCCCTAACCTTTGAAGGCAGATTGAGGGAGAATCCTGTGTTTCCATAACTTACCCCTTGGTGTCTCTTTACAGCCAGAATACAGGCTGGATGAATCATTTTCTGGTCCCACTGAACATTCTCTGAATCTGGAATGTTAGGGAGCATTAAAAGGAAGATGGTGGTGTTAAAATTTGCAGGACACTTTGCAGGGCTCCTGATTCCCAGGGCTGCTGACCGGTAGCATGTGGTAGGACAGAATGACCTCTGGCTGAAGGAGATAACTATGCGAGTCCTAGAAAGCCAGCTTGGCACCAGGAGCACACATTGTATGATGGGTCACCCATGACAAGCTCCCCATCCCTGGGGGCTGCGTGCCTGGAACTCCAGCCACCTGCCAGAGCCGGAGGTTGGTCGTGTCCCCACTAATTCCAGTAATGTGTCTGCTTTTCCCACCAGAGGCCAGGCCATAGGCTGGCCACGTCCCACGTGGGCAGGTGATGGGACTGAATGTGAGTGAGTGCTTTTCAGTCTCGCTATGTGGCCTTTCCCTTTTCAGACTGAAGCTCAGGTGAATAATTAAATCTTTCCCATCTACAAATATCCCAGGAATTTTCATAATGAGGATTATTATATAACTTTAAATTTGGCACTGACATTGAAAAATATCATATCCTAAATTACTAGTCTTGTGGGAAGAAAGGGGTGTGTTTTCATTACAAAGAATCAGTCCTTGATGTCATGCCTTTGCAATTTATCTCTAATGTTTTTATTTTCTAATGCATGTTTTAAGATGCATCGTACATGAATAGCAAGCTCAATGATAAATTTTGGGAATTGTGTAAAAGTGAAATAGACCCTGTGTTGCAATTTAGTTTGACCTTTCGGCCAGGTGTACATGGAATGTCTGACTTAACCTGTGCGGGAGGTTGGAGTTTATAATAGACTTGATCATTTGTAATCTCTTCACTTGGTGATCTTTTTGTTTGTTTTTTTGCAAAGGATTTTAATTTCACCTGTCTAATGCATGTTTTCATGAATGATTTGTCTATCCACTCATGTGACTGGAAAATGAAATAATTTCATTAATTTTTTTTCTCTTGATCTTTAAGTTGGATACACTTAAAGAAAACAACTTGAAAAACGTGGAAGAGCTGAACAAATCAAAAGAGCTTCTGATGGTAGAGAACCAAAAAATAGAAGAATTAAAGAAAGAAATGTAAGTTTACATTTACATTTATTCTTTATGAAAGAAATTATGGAACTTATTTAAAATTGCAAAAGTAGAAACAGTGCTAATTACTTTTTTCAAGTACTTGACAAGTATATATAAAGTCAAAGTAATGATCTCCGTCCTGCCCCCACTAAATGCCATTGCAGACCTTGAGAATTCACCCCTATAACCACTCTGAAGTTGGAACTATAGCTCAGTTACAGGGTCAAAATGAAATATGTGCTGGCTGGTGAGTTACAACACTTGGAATTCAAATGTGACTAGATAAAACCTTTTGCAAATAACAAGGGGAATTAGAGCTTTTTCAAGTAGTATGTTTATATATATGTGGAATCTAGAAAAATGGTAGATGAACCTATTTGCAAGGGCAGGAATAGAGACAGAACGGACACATGGACACAGAGGGAAGGGGAGGGTGGGACAAATTGGGAGATTGGGACTGACTTATATACACTACCGTGTGTAAAACAGATAGCTAAAACAGATATAAGTCAGATTGGGACTGACTTACATACACTACCGTGTGTAAAGCAGATAGCTAAAACAGATATAAGTCAGATTGGGACTGACTTACATACACTACTATGTGTAAAACAGATAGCCTAGTGGGAAGCTGCTGTATAGACAGGGAGCTCAGTTTGGTGCTCTGTGATGGCCTAGAGGGGTGGGATGGGGGTGGGGTGGGAGGGATGCTCAAAAGGAAGGGATATATGTATAAATCATATATATATGATTCACGTTGTTGTACAGCAGAAACTAATACAACATTATAAAGCAACTATACCCCAATAATAACATTAAAAAAAAATAGTATGCTTACGTGGTAGCTAATCTCAACATTAGGAAACATCAGACCCTCTATTAATTAATCCCTTAAAACTCTTTCAGTAGGGGGTGGGGGAAAGCATGCACTTTGAAGATTATCAAATAGTTTTTATTTTAAGAGTAATCTAATCTTCTGGCTGGACATTAAATGAGCAGAACTTTGAAAGCCTCTTTCTAATCCAAGTTTATTCATCAGTCTGCTGTCTATATTTTAGGCAGACAGGCTGTCCATGTTTCCTTTGTCAATACCGCCTTTCGAGTTTGGTTCTTATAACTGCTGCAGATGGTTATTTATCTGGCGCTGTAAGTGATAGTTACAGAGTAGATTTCATTTTGCTTATCTGTTCTGAGAACTGCTCTGTATCTACTCTGAACCAAACATTTAAAGCCAGTTAATCTGGTGAACATTTGAGTAAGCCCCTTCTGCTAGGTACAGTTGAGCTAGGAAGGATCCAAAAATGAATTGTATGTGGACTCTGCCCTTCAAGGGTTTGTATTATTTATTTCCAGTTCTGATCAAACAAATAGATGAGATTCAAACAGAAACAAAAGCGTCACTTCCAAAACCAAGTTGCCATCCTCAATACTATCTGTTGATCAAGCTTGGGTTAAATTAGTATATTATTTCTAGTTCTTCTGAGTTCCTAAAATCCTCCTAGAAGTGGTCTTCTCAGGGCTACTTACCTGAGGAGATGGACAGCTCACAATGCTGACAATGGATCCTTTTGTCAGTCTTAGTTTTAGTGATATTTCTCTAAAGGTATTTAAACAGCTCCCAACGGTTCCATTTACACCTATGTATATGTGTAGAGTTGTGGTGGTGGCCGGTGGGAGAGGCTTGACTCTCCAGGTCTGCTAAGGCTAAACAGCACAAATAGAAACAACTGTTGGTTTTCCTATGATGGGGAAAAAAATTCAAAGCTGTTCAGAGAGGGGAGGTTCAGCTACAGTTAAGGATCTCCCCCACCCCCATGACACAGTAGCTCTGCTGGCCTGAGGGTCTGGAGCACTACATTGACTTCAGTTCATTTATGTCACACAGGCAGCTGGTGAGGGAGGATCTGAGCGTCAGAAGATTCCCTCACCAACTTCCCTCTGCCATAATCCTACCTCTGAGCTCCCTGGGCCATACTAGGTAATGGAGGGGCAGGGCCAGAGCGGACGTATCACAGAGAGCCCCGGGGAGTAAGATAAAATCCCCCTGTCCTGCAGCACCACGCAGGAGCCTCCCGTAAGGGTCGTCACACTGGCCTAGCGTTGATATGTCCCTGTCCTCACTCAAGTCTTTCCGTTCAGTCTCCACCCCTAGTCAGCATGGGGTGGTCTCACTTCTGCCAAGAGAGTAGCTCACTGTGTGTGCCTGTCTTTGAAAGACCCCGTTGAATAACAGAAGCTGAGCCCCGCACCTGTAGGCCCACGGGAGCAAAAACCCATGAGCCGTACTACTGCCCACCTCGCCGGGGCCTGCCTTCCTCCCAGGGGCTGGGTTCCCACGTCGTGCTTCCCCGAGGGGAGAAGTTCACGTGAGGGGGGCTGCTACTGATAGTCTGCCGTTTTTCCTGGCTCGCCAGGGCTACGGGAACCTTGCCTCGTGTCAGTAGCTTGGCACAGCATGGCCAGGACTCAGAGCAGGACACGGGCAGCGGGAGACACGGCGGCGACGTTCGTGAGAAGCCTCGGGAGGGAGGTGTGAGGAGTGGGTTGAAAGCGCCCCCCCAACACACCCCCAGTGACTCATTGTTCCCTGCCTGAGACTTGGCCACATTTCAGGGACCAGCTGATGTAAATGTACTGTGTCATGAGAACACTGCTGCTCAGAAAGAGACCAGCAGTCATTTTACTGTGCTCTGAGCTGGAGAAGGAGCAGCTGTTTGTGTTTTGTGACCATATACCCGGGCTCCTCACGGCCACTGGAGCTTTTCAGGTGTTTCTCTTTACCTGCCAGGACGGGAGTTCCTGGAGGAAAAGGGACGTCTCTGCAAACCCAGGAGTTCTAATGGGAATCAGCCGTAAGAATCTTGCCCTTGGCCCTGGAAACTCAGCCCTTGCAACTAAACATTCCTTTTCCACTATGCCATTTCCTAAACTGGTTTTAGGAAAACTCTTGATTTTGGCTAGCCAGGTCCTAGTTTTAATTGGAAAGAGAACAAAATTGTCTATCTCTGGTGTGTAGCTTTTGACTCTGAGGGAAAATGATATAAGCGATCTAGTTTTTGCCTTTAATCACTCACCTGGCTGAGTAGTAAAACTAAAATATACTAGGACTTCCCTGGTGGTCCAATGGCTAAGACTAGACCCTCAATACATGGGGCCCAGGTTCAATTCCTAGTCAAGGAACTAAATCCCACATGCCACAACTAAGACCTGGTATAACCAAATAAATAAATAAATAAATATTTTTAAGAAGTAGAATATGTTTAGCATGGTAATTATTAAATTTATGATAGATTCCTCAGAATGTTTGCAAGTCAGTATCAGCAGTGTTTATTTTGTGTCTCAGTTTTAAAACTGTGAGTCTTCTTTTGTTTTGCAAGATGTCGTTATATAGTAAAAAAAAAAAAAAAAAGTAACTTATAAAATTGTGAGAAATATATTTGTAGGTATTTTCAGAATTATTCCTTAGAGTATGTCCAGGAGTTGGGCTGTTGGAGCCTCCTCCATCTACGAAATGTACATATGTCCTCTGGTCTAAAGGAAAGTTGAAAGGTGTTTCTATATTCAGATCACAACTGAGGTCTGTCTGCCAGTTTTACCTCTAGTTCTCTTGATTCTACAACTTACTTGGGGCAAATCTTTTCACTTCCCTGAGCTTCAATTTTGTCCTCTTTAAAATATAAATGATAACATGAGCCTCCCTGGGCTTTGAGGATTAAATGAGAAAATGTACATGAAATCATACTGTAGATTTTAAAACATTGAACATATATCATTTGTATAAATCTTAGGACATCTTGATATCTCCTGACTCCTTGTTTTAATTTTCCTTACTGGGGGCTCTTAATGGAAACCAAGGTTTTAAAATTTTTTAAAGGATGGAAATCTGTAAGAGAGAAAGAACAGGATCAAGAACTTACCACTGATAGGCCACACAGATGCTGAGACCAAATAGCTCCTAATGAAGGTTGTGACCACTTGGGAATGAAAGGTTTGGCTTATGATGATTTTATCATAAGTAAAATCCTCTAATTTATCAAGAATTGATGGATTTTAGCCAGAAGATAAACTTTACTTGTAGTGTGTGTGTGTTGATCCATAATTGAAATCAAGCCTCCCAGCTTTTGAGTCTGAAATTCCTTCTTAGTTTTTCTTCACTTGCTAAATAAACGTCTCTGTCAAATGCCAAATTTAATGTGCTAAGAGAATTTTCGTGTCGACATACTCCCCTATATCTTCACAAGGTCAGCCCCATAGGTATGTTATAGGTACATGGAGAATTAAAAATCAAGAAAACTGCAGGTACCAAGTACTGCCACCCATTAGACAACTGAGGTTAAAAATAGACGTGTTCATGCATCAGCAGATGGAATCATACCCAGATGACTTGATTCAGAATTCAGCCACGTATGACAGCTCACTAAATGGAGTGTGGCCAGCCCAGACTTAAAATTCATAATTGCATCAAAACCACCTTCTATGGTTTAAAACTAAAATCCAACAATCCAATAAACTATTTTGAATATCCACATGTAAAGGATAAGTTGGGATGTATATTTTCAGTCAAGCTTAATAATGGGAAGATGTTTAATACATGTGTTTACCCTGCTAACATTTTATATGTTGATATTCATGATATGTATGGTCAGCAAGCTGTATTTTTATTTGCTGCTTTTAATTACAAGTCAACAGTATGGAAAGAATACAATCAAAATTAAACATTTGTTTTGTAATTAGAAAACTACATTTCCTTTGGGCATTTCACCTTTAGTCGTCCTGAAAATACACCCAGATTCACAGCAACACTTGATTCTGACAAATACTAGCAAATGGAACTATGAGCTTTACATTTCTTCCCAAAAAAAAAAAAAAAAGATTACAGATTTGTACAGTTAGAGCAGAATACTGTGGCAGCGATGGAAATCACTGTCAACGTAGTGAATTTAATTTTCTAATGGAAACAAAGGGAATACCGGTCATTTCATCTGTCATTTATTTTAGAGAGTAACATTGCTTTTCTGTGTGGGGAGTATTTAGAAGTGGGTTAAGTGTGGGTGGTGAGAGAGTAGATGTAGTGTTGATTAGGTTTGGAAAAAAAAAATATAATAATTGCAGGCAGCAGTCCTCCCCCTAAGAGGTTAAAGCCGTTTGGCCCCTCCTGCAGGTAGACAGTACTACCTCCTGTTATTACAGATCCTGTCAGGCACGTGACCCAGATATATTTTCCCCAGTGCTGTGGAGTTGGTCGTCTCCCACAGTTTCCTTGCCTGTCTTGTTTCTATGGTAACCCCACACTTGCTGTCCTTGCAGAGAAACCCTAAAGCAGGCAGCAGCTCAGAAGTCCCAGCAGCTCTCAGCGCTGCAAGAAGAGAACGTGAAACTTAACGAGGAGCTGGGGAGGAGCAGGGACGAAGTCACCAGTCACCAAAAGGTCAGTGGGCGTCCGTTGGGGTGGGCACCCCCAGCCCTGCCAGGCCCGCATCTGCTGCTACCTTGGGCAGGGCTCGCGGAGGCCCCTCGGAGACTGTGCTTGATGTGGTTGGGTCATTCCAGTGGGATCTTAAGTCACCTGTGTTTTATATCCCCTCATTTTCAAGCATGCTGCTGTAGCACTTGGGTAGGAGTGAGTTGACAGGTCCTTTAAAAAAAAAAAAAGAACCACTGGGAACTTGCAAGCAAGGAGAAAATAAGATTTTTATCAGATGATCTTATTGCAGTGCATTTAAATGGAAAGGGACAGTATGTTTTTCCTCCTGCCTTGGTTTCAGTTTTGTTTTTTTTCTCTAAGATTTTTTTTTTCTTTCATTAAAATTTATTTTAAGAAGGTTCCAAGAATATAGATTTGGTGTGAAGGTTAGAAGCTGTTTTTAAATAGAACTCTGCTTTTCTTTTAAGTAAAAAACAATGTTTAAACAGCTCCTAAGGGGACTGCGTATACCTGTGCACTGATGCATTGGTTTATGAAATGTGTATTATACCTGGAATGAACTAGAAGCTAACCACAACCCACTTGTTTCCCTATTTAAATTAAAAAGGTTTCTGACAAGTTCATTAAACAGTGAAGCAAAACTGATTTTAGAGAATGCCCTATTCTTTTTTTTTAATTCTTGAATCAAAATGCTAGACTGTTAGCCACATCTGACCTCAGAGCAGAAACTAAAAAAAAAAAGCCATTTTAAAGAGAATTTTACCATGTGGTCATCATTCTTTGCTTTGCATGTCAAGGGGAAAATTTTTTTTCCCCAAGCATACTTTGCAAACATTAATTCTCATTTGGATGGAGTATTCTGGAGTAATTTGTACTGACTGTCCATTGATGTGGCGTCGTTTGTGGTGAAAGCACTCTTTGGAGAGTTGATTTCAGACTTGTAAGTCTTCATTAGAGCTCTCCACAATGACCCTCCTTTGTGGGAGAAATGGCCCATCTCTCCAGACTCCAGGATGACAAATGACGCTCTTGGTGATGATAGCTCAGACTCAGTGGCTCTTACCTTACTGTGAGACAGGCACAAATGCCTGACAGCCATCCTCCCTGTCTTCACAGTAGTTCCCATGAGCCGGCAGTGTCATCACTCCCACGTGTTAAAGAGGAAGCGGAAGCACCAGAAGGTAGTCACATGCTCAGCCTCATTCAGCCGATAGTGTCAGAGATGCGTGTCAGATTCTGATTTGGGTCAGGGAAAGAATCAGAGTGGGTTGACTTAAACAGGGTCACTGCACCCTGCTTTGGTCAGTAAGGGAGAGAGTGCGGTTCATGAAAAACAGAAGCCCTCGGACTGGACGAGGTTCTCTTCTTCCTGGCTCAAACCAGTGTGTGAAACACTGTGCACCTCTGACATCAGCGTGTCTGTAAGGACTTGAAAGGGAAGGATCTCAACTAAGTGCTGAGTCTGTTTGTCTCCTTTTATCTCATCTCACGGAACATCTTTGGTGGAGAGCGTGGATCCCACCCGTGGGAGGAACACACAGAGGTCAGCTTCTCCTCTTACGTTGTGACCTTGACTGGATCATTGATTACATTTCTCGTCTGTCACTCAGAACTGGCAAGACTTAGGAGTGACGCCTCACGGTTCCTCAGGCAGAGGTTTTCAGGGCTCCTCTCCATCCGCCAGCTCTTCCTCTTTTGCCTTGGGATTCAAATTTACCTTCCTTTTGAAAAGGTTTTGTGACTAAAAATTTGAAACTCGGAGACTTTGAAGAGTGAAGTGAAGATAGAACCTGCAAGAAGCAGCCGGGGCAGTGACTTCCATTTAAACGGGGGGTGGTTTTGTCGCTTGTGTTTTACTCTGGAGAGAGAAGCAGGCGGCTGGGAACCAAACCATGATAGGCTGTGACATGAGAGACTGTTCGTGGTGAACACTGAGGAAGACTGCAGATAACGCTTCACTTGACGTGCGTACGTCTCAAAAGAGTGGAGAGAATCTCCCCATTGAAAGTAACGTAGAAGCAACCTTAGGCTAAAGAAGATTGATTCATTCATCGGCTCTTATTACTCTTGCTACATAATCTCCAAGAGTCCAGAGATCTAGACTCCAGCAGTCTACACAAGCTGGTTACTTGTGTAAAATCACGAATTTCCACTTTGTTGCTTGCTATGGTTGAGCCAAACTATCCATCAACTTTGTTTGGAAATATACTACAGAGTTGGGCAGAAACCCTACTTCAGAAAAAGAGCTGGGGCAGGGGGGAGACTTCCCTGGTGGTCAGTGATTAAGATTCCATGCTCCCAATGCAGGGGGCCTGGGTTCGATCCCTGGTCAGGGAGCTAGATCCTGCATGCTTCAACTGAGACCTAGCACAGCCAAATAAATTTAAAAAAAAAAAGAATTTTAATTATAGTGCTGTAGGAATATCCAGCGTTTCGTGCTAAAGTGAAAACAGTAAAGGCTGAATGTGGGACAGATAAACACTGACCTGGACCTGAGTTCCTTCCTGTTCCCTTTGCTCAGTGGTGCCACAGTTCGCTGACCATGTTTCAATCGCTGAGCAGGCTCCTCTGCCATTGTTTCATAGAATCATCATACCTGCAACAGTGAGGTTACATTATAGAAAGGAAGCTGAGGCTCAAACATGAAGCAATCCACCAAGGACACACAGCCAGGCAGCAGAGGAGCCAAGATCAGAACTCATGTCTGACTAACTCGTAGGTCTGTTGGCCTGCTACTATCCTTTGCTGAGAATGAAACATTTCTTTGTACTTCATCGTTAAGTGTTAAGATTAAAAGAAAAAAGGAAAACCCTCTGAGCTAGGAATGGAGTAGGTGGGGTCAAATAGTGCTATAAAAATGTGCTTTCAATCCTACCATTACTTTTTTTCCTGCCTCAAATACTTACTTTGCTTAGAAAACCCAAGGGATCCCAGAATCCGTTCTGCATTTTAAGGCTCTTGCTGGGAATATTGGCCAAGGGTTTTGATTTCCTCAAGAAGCCCTTCATGAAGAGAACTATTTCATTTCCTGTATGTTATTTGCAAGTGAGATGATTTGTTGCAATAAAGGAATCCCTGTGTCCCTGTGACAGTGGTTTTATCATCTTAAAAGCTGATGTAGGAAGCTCTGAAATAACGAGGGCTAGCAGAGAGCAGGACTGGCTGATGGAAGGTAGAGAGATGATCGACTCTGTGCTTCAGTAGAACCCACATCTGCCTTGATTGACACATAGGCACCATGTTCCCCCCTGGAAGAAGTGTTGGAACAGTTGGCAGGCTCACCTGCTCTGGCTCGTAGCCCTCGAGAACCCAGCTAACCAAGCCAGAAGCAGAACCCACATGTGCACATTCTTTGTGGTCTGCTCCATCAGACATTGTCCCTTCCAGTGAAAAATGGGTCTCTTAAGTCCCCTTTCCCAAGCAGGATTTTCATTTTAGGAGGGGAGGGGAGTGATAACCAAGATCAGTTAGGGTTGTGAGGGGTGGAAGTGTTGGCCTTAGCTGGCATCACCTGTGAGAGAAATCCTTATAAAATGTTACAGAGTGCCTCCTCTTTTCAAAGAGGCTGTGTTAGATTGGACATCTGGAATTGCTATTGTTTTTGCAATTTCATATGACTCAACCGACTAGAGAACATAATTTATCCTTTCTTATGACTGACGGTTTTGAGGATTGTCACTATAATGCCGTGGACGGTTTGCTCTCACATTGTTTCCCGCCTGACGGCTGACTGGTTTCATGCTGCTTCGGGTTTTGGGTGTGTGCACGTGCTCAAATACACACTGCACAAATGTACTGTTTTAACCAATTTACAGTGTGCAAGTCAGTCACACTTAGCTCATTTACAGCGCTGTGAGATCATCACCTCTATCTAGAACATCTTCATGTTCCACCGCCCCCCCCCCCCCCCCCCGCCATCAAAGAAAACTCCATGTAAGCAGCCACTCCCCATTCCTCCATCCTCCCAGCCCTGCCAACCGCTAATCCATTTTTAATCCCTACATATTTGCTTATTCTGGACATTTCACGTAAGTGGCAATAGACAGTACATGTCCATTTGCATCTGGCTTCTTTCACTGAGCATAGCGTATCGAGGCGCATCCGTGCTGTAGCCTGTGTCGGGACTTCATTTCATGGCCGAGTTATATTTTACGGAAGGGAGAGACCGCGTTTTGTTTGTCTACTTCAGGTGTCTGAGGCTCCTTCTCCATTCAGACTGCCTCGCATCCCTCCGAAGTCTCCATCCGTGACAGGAGCTGCTGCCTCTCGCCGCCCGTTCGGGTCTTCTGCGGGCTGGGAAGGCCTCCTCATTTTCCTAACAGCAGTGCTCAGCCTAGCCACACTGTTGACACTCGCAGCCCTGTCTTCTCCTCATCTTTACTTCCAAACTTGGAATAGTCTGTTTTCTGCTCTATTTCTCATCTCCCCGGGTTTTCCCCACTCCCTCCAGTCTGCTTCCTGCCGTTCCCAGCGCACTCTGGGGTGCACGGTGGCTTCCCTGTGGTGTCTGCACACTCGGGTGGCTCCTTGCCCCCTCTGCGGACGTTGTGACTCTCCTCCTTCAGCTTCCTCCACACCGTGTGCTCGTGTTCCTCTTGCATCTCCCACCACACCGCATCACTTGCTATTGTGTGTCTGCTTTGCCGTGTCCTCTTGGTCGTCCCCCACTTGGTGCCCTTGGCCTTGCCGCTGGTCGTCATCTCTCCTCTCCAGGTGGCCGCTGCCTTCCCTGGTTCGGGTCACAGTCTCCTTCTTGGCACTCGGAACTCAGGCTCTCTCCCCACCCAGCAATGAGACAGTAGGACTCTTAGAGCAAGACATGCAGGTTGAATGAATGAAGGAGTGAACGGGTAATGAAATAAGTTCCTCATTTTCAGCCAGGCCCTTCAGTCCTGTTTTGCAGAATAAGATGCAGAGACTGTAAGACTTGCCCCTTCCACTTTTCTCACACAAGTCCACTCACTTCCAGTCTCCTGACTTTGTTGCAGAGAGTTCATGGTTGCCAAA